ATATCACAGGCAAGCTGTTTTTATATAGTTCATTTATTTATTCAAACTAATAAAACATTTTTTTATATTTTTGTTCTATAGGGTATGGGATATTTACATGCAAAAGGTATTATACATAAAGACCTTAGAAGTAAAAATATATTCTTAGAAAATGGGAAAGTCATAATTACTGATTTTGGTTTATTCAGTGTTACTAGATTATGTTTTCGTAACAGGTAATTATAGATAATTGAATAGTTAAAAAAATACTAAAATCTTCTAATTAAAATTTCATAGAACCCAAGATGGTCTTATTGTGCCGCCAGGCTGGTTATGTTATTTAGCACCAGAGCTAGTCCGTAATTTGCGTGTTCACCAAAGACCTGAAGAAGAAGATTTACCATTTAGTAAAGCATCAGATGTTTATGCTTTTGGGTAAATACTATTTTTTTTTACCTTTAATAAAAAATAATAAGTAATTATATAATGTGAAGTTAAATATTAATTATTTTTTTTATGGAATTAATAATAACAGATTCAGCTAAACTATATTTCTAAAATAAATATATGATTTCAATATAATATTTTCATTATATTTACTTGTATTATAAATATGCTTAATTAATAGAACTGTTTGGTATGAGCTGTTATGTGGTGAATGGCCATTCAAATCAGCCAGTCCAGAAGTTATTATTTGGAACATTGGACGTGGTATGAAACAAAGATTAGCTAATTTGGAAGCATCTGGTGATGTCAAAGTAAGGATTCTTAATTAAATTTAGATTATTAGATTATTATTTACAATGTTTATTAATAAAAAATAAAAAAATTTAGGATATATTAATGACTTGTTGGTCGTTTAACCCTGAAAAAAGACCAGATTTTGCTCAAATGCTTAAGACACTTGAACGATTGCCACGTAAACGTTTAGCTCGTAGTCCATCACATCCAATTCATTTATCAAGATCGGCAGAATCTATATTTTAAGAAATAGTTTAACAGTATTATAACATGGCTATACCAATGACTTTACTTATTTATATGGTATGATAACTATTTGTAATAAAACAACTTACAGAGCTCAGTTATACAGGTAATCTTGATTAAAGCGCTTTATGTAATGCAATTATGTAATTTCCATTATTATTATTATTATTATTATTATTATTATTATTATTATCATTATTATATTTGTTAATTGTGTATTATAGTTCTATTGTTATCTATTTGTGGACTGTTTGTATAGTATATTCTGTTTATATTGTGTTAGCAGTCAAATTTAAATTTATGTAAATGTGATATATTTACTCAACTTTATGATATAAAACAGTAATTACTATTATCCATCTAGTAAAAATCAAATTAAGTAATTTATCGACAATTTATTTAAGAAGCACTAATAACAATTAAAATATTAACTTAATATTTTTGAAAAGCTGTTTGCACTATTTAAAAAGTATGCTTTAAACTTTAATTATAAAATACTATGTACAACTATCAAACAATTGATTATTTAATTTATTTTCAATGTATTATTTATTTTAGAAACAAAAATATGCATGAATAATATTCAATTTTGTTACCATGATTAAAAACAGTTATTATGCTTGAATACATTTTGTTATAATTACGCAAATCATAAATAATATACTTAGGAGTTAAGACAATATCCTAATATACTCACTCAAGTATAAACATTGCTTGTTTAAGTATTGTAAGAATTTTGCGTACTCAAATCTATTAATATTATATTATATTAAAAAACCTTAAATGTGTGTAAAATGTATGACTGAGGAAATTGTTAACATTTTGAAGTTGTGAACAACATCTGTTTTGACTGATAATATTTACAAGAGAACAGTATTATTTTAGATAATAATTTATTACTTTAAAATACAAAGTAACTTTGATTTTAATATTTATTGTTATTGTAAAATTAATGTTAATGTATATAATAATATACCAATCTTCTATTTAACTTTTAACCAAAGATTATTAAACATATAAAATACATTATAATTGATTGAATAAAAGTTGTAAATAGTCTTACAACTTATACTGTGAATATGTATAATATATAAATGAGTACCTATAATACGTATTACATATGTTTTGCATTATGTTTATAGGGTTAAAATTTGTCTAGTGGTATATTACTAATTTGTATTAAGTAATTATTTACTGTACTAATCTACAATTCTTAATACAAATTAATTGAAATATGAAAAATAAAGCATAGAATCAATTATTGGAAAATGAAATAATATTCATTTTTTAAATTTAGTTATAGAACTTATCTGTACAGAACAACTTATTTAAATTATTAGCATTAATTACATTATAAAATATTTTCATAGTCTTTGTTATTATTATCAAAGTATACAATTTAAAGGAGTAATGGGTATAAAATCAGTAATGACAGAATTTATACAATGAATAGTTTTTAACTGTTTAAATGTAAAGTTTAATAACAATTTAAACATTGAACATGCAATTGGGTTTAATTAGTACTTCGAGACTTATTAGGATCAAAAGTAAAAAAATTACATTGCAAAATAAATGGCAGATAAAAATGTGAATAAGTAGGAAGCCTTTGCTATTTATCTGTTAAGTATATATCGAGTGTACAATATGCACTCTTTAAATTTAGTAAATTACTGTAACGAAAGTGATATATTTGAATTAAAAAAAAAAATGGTGTACATAAAAAAAATGATTCAAAAAGGAGGCGGTCAGCCTATTTTATTAAGTACATTTATAATATTATTAATGTATAATTTACTTTATTATTTACAATACTTGAATTAGAAAAAATAAAGTAGAAAAGATCAATTCAACGGTTTAAATACTTTGTTTTAAATGCAAAAAAAAATAAATACAGACCCGTGAAAAATATTGCCCATATCCCAAATCATCATAAGATTTTTTCAAATATATTTTATATTTTATATATATTTAATTAATGTAAAAAAACACATGAATTTATTCTCACCCAAGTATTTAACTAATACTATTAATTGTAATTTAATATAATAATTTTTTAATAAAATTTGAAGAAAAAAAATTATATATTTTAAAATGTATTAACATTTTTAACAAATTTTAATTACAGTATCATTGACAACAATTTAAATCTATTTAAAAAATAAAAATATGCATTAGATTATACCATCTCAATAGGTAAAATTAATTATTTACTAAAAAGCTAATAAAATTAATTATATTATTAATTATTATAAGTGTATAATGTATTTATAAATATAATATCATACCTATACTTTATTGATAGTAATTTATAAATCAATACTAACTGAGAATAAAACAATATGAATAGGTTCGTGATTAAAATAGGTATAGTATAAAATTAATTTAAATATTTTGAAAATAATGATTAATAATATATAAATAATAATTTCAAGTAGTAATGAATCTTTTTTAATTACAAGAAAGTAATTTACACTTTTTATTAAAATCTTCTAATTGTGTAAATTTACTCTTCAGTTAATGTCTGTCAATAAAGTTATGAAAATATATTTTTTAAATTTTTTGTTTCAAAATTATTTGTATGTAATAAAATGGATTAAATAAAGTTTAATACTAAACTTAATACATAAATTTTGAAATCAAAATAATTTCAAAAATTTTAATTTAAAAATATTATATTTTACTATTGTAGACATTAAAAATGCGACAGGTTGAATTAATTTTTACTGAAAAAATTTAATTTAAAAGGATTATAGTTTATATAAAATAAAATAATGTACTAAAGCTATAAAAATTGAAAATTGAATACATTTTCAACTACAAAATAAAATGCAAATTTTGGTGAATTTTGTGAAAATATGAACTTTATTAAATGTGTTCATAAAAAAAAAAATTATAATCTTGGATATTTTTGAACTGCTAGCATTGCAACTCACGAGGAACCTTGTAATAAATTTTCAAGGTTTTTGATCAAAAAAAAAAAAAATTATCAACATTTATTTCAAAATATTTCTATTTCTTAATAACTTTAAATTATTATCTAGTTGTTGGTGCTAAGTTACTAAATTATTATTTTTCAATAAATGGTGAAATTTAAAAAAATAATAATATATAACATTCATATTTCATACATAAATATTATTATTAATAGGTGTAGCTTTAAGGGTACTGTGATAAAAAAAAAGGTTGAAAACCATTAGTTTAGACTAGTTTCAAGTTAATTTTACTATGCACTGTTCTAGAGCAATATGGGTAATGATAAATGAAAGTTTATTAATATTATTATAATTAGTAACTCAGGTAATATGTGTAAGTAATTCATACATTATTTTTAACAAAATAAGTTCTTTCTTCTTAAATGTACCATAAAATCAGAGTAATATTACTTTATGTGTACTATACCTTAATAAAAACCACTAGTGGAAAACAATATTACTAATTTGTAGTACAATAAAAAAAAAAAAAATTAGATACCAATAGGATCGACAAGCTCTTTCAACCTAAAATTGTACTTGTATGCAATGATTAAATGATTTATTATTGTAATCAAATTTAAACATTATCCAATTGTCCATTACCCATTAGTGGACTGGACTAGGTATTCAATTACAAAGTAGGGACGCTTGATTCCTACTATGTAATATGTATAATATACAGCCAAATATTTTCCAAGTATTTAATTTTTTCATGCAATGACATTAATAGTTGGATTTACATTAGTCATAAAATGATTTAATACATTTAAATAATAATAACAAGGGATAATTAATAACGATCTGTTGTTAAGCACAGAACACTAGCATTCCTTTTTAATTCATAATTATAGTCACCAAACATCATGAAGAAACCGGACTTCGATTAAAAAATCGTAAATTTTTGATCATTTATTTTAAAATTAGAAACTTTTTTATGAATAATAAGAATTATGTCAACATGACATAAATTAAAGTTATCTATTCTTGTGACTATGATTAAATGTCTTATCACAACGAATGCTTATCAATGACCGCTAACTACATTGTATTCGACCGCACGATTATGACGTGTTTATCGTGGAATAGATTAAATGATAATGATTTGGTTTTGGCCCAAAAAATTCAATTCCTGGAATGTCTCTCGTGAGTTGTGAAAGGTTATTGTGTTCTAAGGTCAAGGTTTTTCTTCTTATGACCTCATGATTGACTAATTTTCGTACGTGGTAAAAGTAGTATGGAAAGTATTAACAACGATAAAATACAGAAGACACTCGTGACACCGGGAATTGGTGGTCAGCCTACTTTCTCCAACGGAACAAAAGTAAGTCGAAATAAAAAGAAATCATTTTCCTGTTTCGGGTTCTTTGAAGTGCACACATTTACTACTTTATTTTTTTATTTATTTTTGAAGGTATCGTTTCATTTTGTCACGCGAATTGTTGGCACTAACATTGTGGTAGATGATAGTTACAAATGGCCCAAGCACATGGAAATCGTTTTGGGAAAAAAATTCAAATTAGAAGTTTGGGAAACTATTTTGAAGTCAATGCGTGAAAGAGAAATTTCAAAATTTATTGTTCATAAAAGTGTGAGTATACCATTCTTTTAAGCATTAATTATTACCAATTATTTTTTTATTAAAATTGTGTTTGCAGTTTATTTTGTTGCATGTTACTTAGAACAATATTAATGTATAGTAATAAAAGAATTTACATTAGCAATTTTAAATATTCTTACATTTATTTTTTAAAGTACCTATTATACTGCACATTTATTAATCTAAATATATTAATTTAACACATGAAAACATTTTAATTTATACCAACTATACCCTATTATGTTTAATCTTATTTATGTTAGGTACTAGTTATGGGAAACTAAAGTAATTATTACTGAATTATTCAAAAAACTGACTTTTTCTATTCAATTATACTGTGGATCAGTGGTGTATTTAGGTTTTTGTCATGGGGGGGAGGGATGACTATAAATGAAGATACTAATGAGAATATTATACAATATATCATATTTTAATTCTTGCAAATTTAATCAATTATTGATAAGAAAAAAAAAAATAATAATTTTTTAAATAATATGATGACATAATTATTTCAATAAATTCGCCACTGCTGTGGATTATTGAACTAATTATATTTATTAAATAAATTATCATAGAATAATTTATAAGACATTAAGACCTTTATAATTATGGTAATAAACTAATAAGTAATGAGTATGATAAATATCCTTTTATTAGTTTTATTCTTTCTAAATGTATTATTAGGTAGCTATACTTTTAATAGTACTTACTTATTTAATATTTATTATTCAATCTTAAAAAATATCTACTTCATTATATGTTTATTGCTATTTATTTTAATATTTACTTTACTTACATGCTTTTAAATAATAATTACACTTGAGAAAAAAAGGTTATATGTTTATAAGTATAATTGGTGTTCCCGATAAAAAATGAGAGACAGTTCATTAAAAACTTGCAATATCTTATAGAAATAAATAATCATTAAATATATTTTTCATGATAACCATTTTTTCATTTTTACTTTTAAACATACTGATGTAATAAATTAAAATTTCCAAATCAATTAATTAATTTTATTATTTTATTTTTATAAGTTTTTTATGATAAATAATGCTGTCCAACTTGATCTTAATACAGAATATCATATTTAAGTTATAAGAGACTAATTTTCTCATTTGTTAAATAATAAGCAAATTTACTTTAGTATTATTAAGTATATCATAGTGAAAATTGTGATTAATATCAGATATTAATTACTGAATTGCACGCATAATGGAAAATAAATATATAAGCATTTTATGATTTTTCTTTACAACCACTGATTAATCTATTAAATTTGGTTTGATTATATCTTATACTTACTGATTACTTATATTTATTGTTATTAGAACTGTTACCTATTAAATTTTATTCAATGTAATCCTACATTATTCAGTTTTTATTATCAATGAATCATTTATGTCTATATAGGTTCATATTTTTATATAATATGAAATATTATGTAATGTTTTATAATTTATAATTAAATGATTATTATGTTCATAGTTCATAAACTAAATTGTAGTATTTAATTGTGTTATAAACAAATAAACATATATTTCATGTTATATAATAAATCAAAATAATTTATGTCAGTAAAATAATGATAGGTGCTATTACCAATATTAATAGGTAATTTAATTATTATGTAATATAGATATTTAGAATTCATATTAGTTGGTAGGAATTTAAAATGTTAATATGTTATATTGTATTGAAGTATTTAAATTTATAACTATATTATAAATTAATATTAGTTTTGTATATTAAAACATATTTTATGTAAAATGTAAATTATTTATTTAATTTTTATTTCATAAGTTAAGAGGTTATTGTACATGTATGCAGTGGTATAATTATAATTTTGTTTTAAGGGGGAGGGGTATATAATTTATTGGATAATTATAAAGTCAGGAGGGAGCTTAAAACCATGCTTTTATAGCTCTATATTGCATATTATATCCGTGATTATAACATAATATGGATAAATTTGTAATCATATATCAAGCATAAGTAAATACATTAAGCATTAGAAAAAGGTTCTGGAAGGGATATCTATGCCACTGAGTGTATGTTCTGTCTTATTAATGCTAACAGAATTTTCAGTGGTATATTTCTTGGCAGTAGCATAGTGATTGCCTCAAGACCAAAATATATGGGTGGGTACTGAGCAATGGATTTTCTACAATAAATTTTTTATTTATGCTTATAATTTGTAAAAAAAAAAAATAATAATAAAAATATAGATTAGAAGCTAAAAGTGCATAGGTGGTAAATTGGTAGTTTTTCTCTGATCTGAAAATTGTTTAGACCAGTACTACTTTTTAGTTCTCAATAGTTTATAGGACTGTTCCACTATATTCAGTATTTATCTTTTTATCCTCACAAATCATGAATTTATCAGTTTTAGATCAAATTCAAAGTAAACGATTAAGTTTTATAATTTTATAAATAGGGTTGACAATTTAATGTACAAAAATTTTAATTGATAAAACACATAACTAAAATGAGTCAAATGCAATTGTTACCCTGGATAAATATACACACCCCAACTTTAATTTGGAAATAATATATTTTATCATTGCTGTTGTTTTGTCATTATAAATAATATTATAATTTTTGTTGCCTTGACATATTTGCTTCATTATCCTATATAATAATGTCTCATCAGCAATCTATCTTGTTATGTCTTAAAATTTATTTATTATTGACACATACAACACTATAAAAATTAACATCAGCAGTTCCAATATAGTGTTGTTAGTTTAAACGTTAGTGTAAATTGACTTTCCAAAAAACTTAAATATAAGAACATAATCTGTGTACTTTTATTGATTTTTTTTAATATAAAAAATTATAAATATATAAATTTAATATGATAATATTGTTTAAACCTAACAATTGAACACATAAAATGTTCTTACTTAGAGGCTGAACACATAAGTTTAGTATGTTGTCTGTTTGAAAGACGTTAATAACGTATGTGGGTTGTGGGTATAATGAATCAAATTTTTTATTTTTGATGTATTAATAGCCACTTAAAATTATGAATTGTATTTTAAACAAAATTAAGTATAAATATATTGTTTGGGGTAGTTGTTGTTTTTCATTCCAAAGCAATTATGACACCTATTAATATTTTCAGACAAAGATAAACTTGCTAACTATAACTCAAGTTGTCAACTAATATAGTTTGGGAGAAGGTGTTTCTTTTAATAACCTTATAGTGGTGCTAAAAATATATATATCAGTAATTTATGTAAAAAAAGTAATATTTATTAGGTTTTAATTGTTGAAATGATGAATTGAACAAAAATTAATTCTCAACTCATGTCACTCACATTGCATTATCTAATAAATCATTGCATCTGATTATATATTTTAAGTAAACTTTGAATAGGTAATAAAAATTAGTGAAATAAGTCTTGAACTAACCATTAATTTTCTTAAATTTTCTATAAAAAAAAATCTAATTGAATAATGTATATGCCATTTGTATAATTTTTTATTTTTTTTAGTTATTACTTATTACCGAAACTGTCAGTATTGAAATATATGCTATATCTCTAAATCTTTAAATATTGTCTTTTTTAAAATTCTCTATTTTGACCACTTTGCCCATTAGATTTAAAATAGTGACCCACCTTTTATGCATAATGAATATTAATGTAATGTTGTTCACAAATCAAAAACATACTTGAATTATTATCAATAATTATTATTCAAGTGGAATATCACTGAAAAAATAAATTGTAAATCTATCAATATAAATATAGTATATTAAGTATTATAGAAAATAGTTAATCACAATTTTTGTGTTTTTTAAAAACTTATTTAATATAGTTCATTAATATAACATGATATTTACATTTTACTATGGCGAGAAGTTCTTATAACACATCTACGAGGTCGACAAATCCTAAAGGTCGATTGTGTATCTATATATATGTTAGAATGGTAGGTTATGTAATATTATGACCGTTAAATTAAAATATTTGTAAAAAGTTTCTGATAGTCTAGAATTATTGTTATTGGTATACAAAATGTTAGAAAATGTATACGTACAGAAAGAATCTAAAATGTAAAATAATGAAATTTCTGCATATGACTCTTGGTGTGTATTTCTCACTGTAATCGACATCTTTTAACCTACAATATGTTGAATCGGCCTGTGTACCTATTTAACCAGATTGGCATAGGTAGTTATAATCTATGCTGAAAAAAAGTAAACATACCAAAAAAATCTTAAATGTTATTTATCGATGAAATTGATTAATATTTAATATGCATTGATGAGTAAATGTTGAGCGTATTTAATGTAATTATTGTATAAGTACCAACTTCTGCAATAATATAGTAAATATAGTTTAATTTTATACTGAAATTATTGAAAACTTAATCAATTATTTTATGAACGTAGTCCTAGATAACTCAAAAGTATTACTTGAATTATAAATAGTTTTAAATGATTTATATTTATTTTTCATTCATTTTAGATTTTGAGCGGAACAATAAATGTACTGATTTTATAATAATTGTTTTTTAATGAAAACGTAATATAAAGCTTATTATAAGTTGTTTTTGTAGGTAAAAAAATACATAGGCACGTTTTTGTAAGCATTTAAAGTTAAAAAAATTTCTGAATTTGTCAAAATCTTGAAAATTTGCAAACAACTTTATAGTACAAAATTCATTAGTTTTTTAATTTTTATAATTAAATTGTTAAGTCTTCAAGTTTCCTTATAATTAGTTCATATTGAAACCCAAATTTTTAATATATTTACATATAAACACGTAAATGTATTATAATAAAAACTTTTTTCTTTTAAATATTAAAGGTAATATTGGTATTTGTATTTGGTGTAAATTTATGTCTGACGTCTGCACCTTTATGATAATTTAGTGAAAATCCTTTATTTTGAAAATTGATGATAATTTCTGATTTTGAGTCTGGTTGGTACTTTTGAGAGCCAAAAATAAAAATAAATCACTTTTTTGAAATATTTACTTATAACAAGTATACAATTATTTATACCAGTATTTAATTAACGTAATGTAATTTTAAAAAAAATGAATTATATTTTGTCGTTTTTTTGAAAAAATAGTTCAACCATATAGTAGCTTTACTGTATGCAATGTATTAATATATAATAAAATATACTTAGAAATATAGGCTGACAAAACTATCTCCGTCTAGAATTGATGATTTTATGTACAAAATACAATTATTTATCTTTGTTATAATATATTTTCTGTTATAAATATAACAGAATTAACTTTATACTGTAGCAAAATTATTTATGTGTATAAATGATAAGTATACAATTCTAAATTAATTATACAGAATATTGGTACAGATAAACTTTAAATTTGTAAGACGTCAAAACTTTATGTTAATAATAAATTATCAAAATAAAATGTTGTTTTACTGTGTTATTAAAAATATGTAAAACATTTTAATTTCGAAACTAGGAAACATATTATGATATCTTAAATATTTTAAAATTTCAAAAAAAAAAAAAAAAAAAAACTGAAACTGATAGAAATTATATAATATGAACTTATCGAAAAAAATGAATATAGTTTTATAAATAAATCATCCGGTATATATTGTAGTGTAATAAAATGTTATAATTTTTTTTATACAAGTTTGATATAAATATATAAATTTACTTCAGTGTAGCCGCAGCTTAATTGTAGTGTATCTACTAAAATATGTATATGATCGTAGAATTTATTATTGTATACCGTCTTCTTCTACTCGCGATTCATTTTTTCTTGCACTTAACATCTAAAGTTCAAACCGTAAACATATCTTATTTTCTTTAGTGCGTTTTCAATTCTTCAACAATTTATTCCTGAATAAAGGGCAATTAACTAAATAATCAAGTATGTTTTTATTATAAATTTAATACTTATATAATATTGTATATTTTTAAATTTTAAATATATTTATTAGTGTAAGAAGGTACTTATAGCAGCATTAATAATTCTATTTATAGAGAATAACTATATTCAATATTTTTTCAAGTTTGATAACTAGGAAATAAATGCTAAACAAAACAAAGTCGTTAAATATTTTAACTAGTAAAAAAGTTTAACTTGTGTTAGTTAAATAAGTGCTTAGTTATATAATTAATATATCTACATCCATCTAAAGTTTATGGTTTTTTTATAATATTGGTAAATATCGACTCATTATACTATAATACAATGTACATAAGTATTGTTTTAAAAAGTATTGAAAAAAATAACTAAATCATATTAAATGCTTGTATTATTTTTAAATTTCTATTTTATTATTTTTATCATAATTATGATAATTATATACAACTATTGATAAAACAGAGAATAAGTTAATAGTTCGAGGTCATTACCTCAGAAATTATCCAAGCCGTCCACAATATACTATACATTTTATACTTACATTTTTTTCATAAATATACAATTTTCTAAGTTATGGTAAATAATACTTATTATTAAAATGTATTTCAGCACTTAATATATTAATTTAATGTGTATCTCTAGATTATGTAATATAAAGTAAATTTTAAATTTCATAATTTATATATTTAATTTAGTCGTGCTATGATTTATTGATTAAAAAAAAAAAGAAAACACTTACACTGTAATTATTAAATGATGAAATATTTTTTCAGTTTTTTTTTCTTACTAAAAAGTATTTAAAATTCATAAGATAATTTAAAAAAAATAATTGATAAAAAAAATTGATTTACGAACATTGGTATACGCATAATTGTTTTGATTGAGATAACCATTCATTAATAGCACCTTTTATATTTATTAAAGTTATAATTTTTTGAAATTGATTGATATTTTCGTTCTATTATATTCAATTTTTTTTTATAATTGTCTAAATATATTAATTTAAAGTCAGTAATTCTAAGTTTTTGTTTTGATTTAAAATTTATCAAACATATTATAATTTTTTCTTATTCATTTTTAAGTATATTCTTCTATTTATAAGTTAAAATCGATGTTATTTTATCAGTGAATACTGAATAATATTAACATACAATTAATGTATTGTGATTGTATTTTTCTACTATTGAAATTTACTATCGATTCTGGTTCTATAAGATATACAATATGCATAATGGTTGTACCTATCTAAAAATACAATAAATTATATTTTGTATGAGAAAAGAAACACATTCTCATATTATTGTGCACACGTTACAGTTTGAATATTTTAAATATTAAGAATGCTGAGATGTTTGCTTTAGATTTACGAATTTATTGAAATTTGTATTTGAATTGATTGTGAAATATGTGTGTATTAAATGTTTTCAAAGTGGTTTTATTTCTATTTTTTCAAATAAGTGATCTGCAGTGTTTTTAGTGATTGTTGTTATTAAAGTTTATTTTTGTTTTGTTTTGTTTTAATTAACAGGTAAATTAAGATTCCAAACGATTTTTTTTTTTTATCATGGATCATTGGCCTAAAGATGTCGGAATACGCGCTATTCATTTCGTCATACCGTCGTTGTACGTTGATCAAACTGATTTGGAAAAATACGACCAAGTGTCCGAAGGAAAATATACCGTTGGTCTGGGCCAAAAGCAAATGGGGTTTTGCACAGACCTCGAAGATGTGAATTCGTTGTGCCTGACGGCTGTCAGTCAGCTTGTCGAGAACAATGGCATTAGTTATGCGGACATAGGTCGTCTGGAGGTTGGCACCGAGACCATAATCGACAAGTCGAAAAGTGTTAAAACGGTTTTGATGAAGCTGTTCGAGCCTAGTGGTAATTTCCACGTTGAGGGTATCGACACGACAAATGCCTGTTATGGTGGGACGGCGGCCCTGTTCAACGCTCTTTCGTGGATGGAGTCTAGTGCGTGGGACGGTAGGCTGGCCGTAGTAGTCGCAGCCGACATTGCGATCTACGCAAAGGGCAACGCGCGTCCAACAGGAGGTGCCGGCGCCGTCGCGATGCTGATCGGCCCAAACGCCTCGTTGGTGATCGAGAGGGGCCTTCGGGGAACGTACATGAACCACGCGTATGATTTCTTCAAGCCCGACCTGACATCTGAATATCCGGTGGTGGATGGTAAACTGTCAATCGAGTGTTACCTTAACGCCCTGGACCAATGCTACAAGTCCTATCTGAGCAAGTGTGGCGACGATACCAATGTCAACTTGAACGGGTTCGATTCATTCGTGTTCCACACACCATACTGCAAACTGGTGCAGAAGTCCCTGGCCCGGTTATACCTGAACGATTTCGTGAACAGTGACGCAAAGGACAAGGACTACCCGGGGTTGGACCGATACAAGGACGTGCACCTACCGTCCACATTTTTCGACCGAGATATCGAGAAGACGTTCATGGAACGAAGCAAGACTGTTTACGAGGACAAGACAAAGCCGTCGCTGTTGCTGGCGTCGCGCATAGGAAACATGTACACGGCGTCCGTGTACAGCGGGCTGGTCTCATACCTTGTGTCTTTGCCGCCGGAACATCTACCCGGCAAGAAAATCGGCGTGTTTTCCTACGGGTCCGGTTTGGCGTCGTCCATGTACTCGATCAGGGTCGTCGACAACGATTTGTCGAGTCTTATCGGCAATCTGAAGAAAGGCATCAACCGTCTGGAAGAGCGGATACGACTGTCGCCCGAACAATTCACGGAAGTGTTGGAAGTCCGGCAGAAGTCTTTGCACCGAGCGCCGTACGTACCAGTTAGCGATAAGGGTCAGCTGTTTCCGGGCACGTGGTACTTGTCCAGTATCGACGAAATGCACCGACGGTATTACGAGAGAAAAGAATAGAGCGTTGTAAAACATCTATACAATAGAAAATGTATTTATGTCCCCCCAGTGAAAAAGTATTATTTATCGGTAGGCGATGAATATATAAATCGTATTATTCTCTGTACATCAAGCAAATAATAACTAGTAATGGTACTTTTTAAAATGCACAGTTAATTTTAAGCAAAAATCTTTGTACTTTTATAGTTATAGTATTGGTTTATATATTTTTTATATACATAACAACATGTATATACCTATTATATATAGAGTTATGTAATTATTTTGCATTAACATGATATTTTTCATTAATATTATTATACTCTTGGTGTGTGGGTTTTATTGACAATAATTATTATAATAATATTAAGTCGGTATTGAAGAGGTGCTGCAGATTGTTAATTTTTTTTTTTAATTATAAACATTATAAATTTAATATTGTAATTTTTAAATCATGCCTTGTTTAATAGATTATCCACTGCAGGTTTAAAAATCAAATGCATTTATTCGTTTTTTTTTTTTTTAAATGTCAAATAAATATATTTTAGTGAGCAAACATTTTGATTTTAAAATTGTATTAATCACGATTTTTCTTAACTTTATAATTTCATCAAAAAAATAATAAATATAACTAAGTTTATATCTTAAAATAAACTATATACCATGACTCATGAGTACCTAATGATAAATTATAATACAGCGTGCTCAAATAATATGCAAAATATGTAAAACTTGGTTAGGCTAAAAGGTTTTATTTGAATAAATTATACAATTAAAAATTAAAACTTTAAGTTGTGTGGTATTATTATAAGTTTTGATTGAATGCATAATATATGTAATTAATTGAGAAATATAATTATTTTCGATGTTTAATAGATGTAAAACTATACAAATAATGGGACGACTACTAAATTTGTAAACACTTATACTATCTATTTATTGGTCATAATACTCATAACTCATAAGTAAGTAGATTTACAACTATAATTATGAATTGCAAAACAAATATTTAACTTTTTTGTATTAATAACATCGTGGAAGATATTGATGGTCTTAATGTTTTATTACAACGGCGTTATGTATTGTTTTTCTTTTTTTCGGAAGCACTAGGAATAAAAAAGTATTCCATAATGTTTCGTTGCACAATGTAACATCAAACTATACTTAGGTTTGTGTTTGTGCACCCATAGAGCCATAGACACATAGTATTAATAGTACTTTAAAATAAACAAATTATTTTCAAGATTGTTGTTAGTATCGTTATAATGATAATAAATTGTAGTAAACTAGTATGATTAGTATTTGATTGCAATTTATAGTTTAGTAGGTATAGGTTCTATTGATAAAATGTATGAAATTACAGAATTAAATTAAAATAATTATTGCTAAAAACTTTAATGTCTAATTCCAGCGAAAATAGTATAGTTATTTCTCTATACTTTTTCATTTTAATTTAAGATCTTGAATGAAATCTATTGTATTTATTTTTGAAGTCCGTACACGATACCGAGTAAAATGATAAATACTTAAGACTTATATTGATAGGTGTTAAAAATGTTATCATTTCATATTGGTGATTGAATTCATAATTTTCAACGAAACCAATTTAAACATTGTAATCCGTTTATAAATTACTCGTTTTACAGCTATATGTTTGAAATTGATTTCATGATCACTTACTAAAATAAAAACCGTTTTATCTAAATATGATCACACATATATATCGATCATCAAGATGAGTGATGAGACCCGAGTGCCATTATTCTACTTGATACAATAGCATCTCGTGGTTCTAATAAGTAACATCGTAACGAACATATAATTCATTTAAAATTGTAATAATGTAATCACTAACCGTTGAAGATTTGGAATTATTAATAATTGTTTATATTGACTACCGTTTTTAGACTTTTGTCTAGGCTACAATATTATAACATGCATAAATCCTTCTATGCATTTAAACTGTCCAGCGAAGATACGATACACCATGACTTGACGAATATCATCACTTCGCATTCTTGCGCGATACTGCCATAGTTCAACCACTCCAATGGTATGGTGTGGTGTCGCGTTAGGTGATGTGTTGTAGAATCGGTGTATTTCTTGCTTGGCAGAGCATATTATATTTATATATTATATATAATATTTTAATTATTATATACTATTGATGTATACATATTTTTTATTTTGGTATTTTAGTATTTAATTTAAAGAACTACAAATATATAAGTCCTTACTCCTTTATATAAGATAGATTGTGTGTTAAATGTAGCATTAAAATGCTAAAAAAATTTAAAAGCATTTCGAGATTGGCTTGCAAAATTATACAGATCAAATTAAAATATATTACAATATAGGAGATTCAAAATTTATATTGTAGCCATTTTATTATATAAACCTATAAAATATTCATGATAGAGAAAAATGTTTAATATGAAAGTTTTGTATTTAAAAAAATATAAAATGATGAATAATTTTTATATATTTTTTTAATATTTTAGGGAGGTTTGGAAGTCAATTTTAAAAATTCAAAAGGAAATCTTTCCTAATATGAAGATTTTTTTTTGGAATATTTCGATGATACATAAAAATTTAAATTCGGATTAGTGGTTTATCAAATATAAATATTTACAGATTAGGAGGTGAGCGGAGTAATAGACAACATTTTATGGAGTATTCCTAAACTATCCCACTATTTGTTCATCTAAACTTTAAATACCTTATAACTCATATACAGATATACTCATATATACTCGTCCTTAATTTATATTTTTATATAACAAAATACTTAAAAAAAATTCTTCAGATTATAATAAAAAAGTATAGGTTCTCAATTAAAGTTTTAAAGTTAATTTCAACCCCTCCCTTCTAAAATGTTGTAAAAATTATTAAAATACAAATTAGCTTAGAAGTTTCTAAAAAAAAAAAAAATTTCATTCTAAATATTTTTCTTAATTATGAATATTTATTTTGAATCGCCCTATAAATATAAACTGAATCAGTTTAAAATAAACGTAACCTGCCAGTTGTAATTATGCAATTTATAAGTACGTAATATGAGATGAATAAATTAACAAACCAAAATTAAATATTTGTTAACAGTTGGTAGCGTCTTATCCGTTCATTTCCAAGACGTTGCGAGATGCTGGTCGTACGTCAATCCCCAGCACAAGTCATTGTTGCACAGCACAACTTCAAAAAAACGGCACCGGTTACGATGATCTTAACGATTTACTAGCGGAACCAGCGGATTTGGAATTCACTATAGGTTTTTAAAAATTATTGATACAATGATACCTAAATATCTGACAATGGTTACTTTTAGTTTGCAGGTAGCTAGTGTTAGATATACCACTGTTATGAGGGCGACACACGATTCCGCACAATATACCTTTTTACCTACCCGATTCCACACATTTTCATTATACAAAAGATTTTTTTTATTTAACCCAATTTTAACACGATTCCGCATAAAAATTGTGGCGACGTTGCCTGTTATGAGTTAAAATAATTATAGTAATAATATTAAATAAAACAAATTATTAAAAATAAATTGTATAGAAAAATGTATATTTTAATTCTGTTGAAAATTGGTTAAAGTAAAAATAAAATAATACAAAAATAGTCAAATTAGTACAAATAAATAATTGAATTATATCAATTTGATTCGATTCATAGTTATTGTAAGCATTTATGGTGAATTCCATATGCTCTTTTTCTTTCGCGTTCAATATTTTCCGATTATTATATAAAGTAATTGATCTGATTTTAGTTTCAATTTCTGACTGAAATTCCATCAACACTTTTATAACTAAATAAATATGTAGATGAGGGTGATAAAATTGACCGTTATATGTGCGATGAAAGCTTTCAGAACCATTAGTTAACAGTTGTCCTATAAAAAGTATAAATAACTATTTTTATTAATTAATTTTACCTCGGATTCGTTAAAGGTTTTTCTGCCTATAATTCTGGTGGATATAAGTATTCATTTTCAATGTAATTTTTCAAAATATAGTCGCTGAACAAATATCCTACAGTATTGTTGGGGCAAATACTTATAAATTCAGTGAATGTTTCGTTTACTTCATGACATGCAAAGAAAGATTAAGCGAAAAATTGCTTCAACCACTTTCCGAGTTCATCATTTAAATCTTCATATCTTTCTCTCAAACCAGATTCACTTTGAATCTAAAAAAAATGTTTATAAAATAACTAAATAAATTTATAAACATACATTAATATTGCTACTAACCTTACGTCATCGTGAAATCTGCAAGCCATTATTTTTACGTTCGGGAAAACAGATAGGACTACCTTATGTGCACTAATTTCAAAGTCCAGGTGTATTATTTTTATATTTAATATTTTATCGCTGACTTTTGTACAAAGTTGTCGAAATAATTCTATAAATCTACGTAGATATTTTGAGTTTTGTCTTTTAAAAAATAAATATACTAGTAGCAAATAAAATACATTTTTAGAACTGTATATCGTGTACAACTGTAAAAAGTACTTAGGTGAATAGTCAAATGTTCCGTTCCAAAATAATTCTGAACAAAATTGAGTCAAAAAGTTAATATTTTGAACAGTTATTAAGGCAAATAAAATTTGCATCCACCGGAGCATAAATAAATTATTGTTGATTTTCATATGTGAAACATTTATAAGTTTTTAAAATTCTCAGTTATTATAAAGCATTATCTAATGATGTTGGAAATACAGGAAAATGTTTTCTTCGTTCATCATACATTGCTTTACTTACGGATTTAATGCTATAGTGTCTTATTACCGATGATTCTGGAGTTTGGAGTAACTCTGTACGAATAATTTTGACAGATTTACTAAAAACTGATTCCTCTGCTCGCCGCTTACAATTTTCTCTGAGTACTTGTTTTTCTATTTTATTAGAAGTTTCAGCCAGATGATTATATACTCCTTTTGAGTCGAAATTTTTTTTTTCTGAATTTGAAAAAATAAACGCAGTGTAATTTTTAACAGAAGAGCAGCGCCATTTTAATAGTTGATCGCATGTGCAAACACTATAACAAATCTATGTTTATATCCATTAACAATTGCTAGTTCCTTATTTCTCTCTAACAATATGATGCGAATTTCTAAATTCTTTAAATTATTCATTTTAAATTTTAAATTTACAATTTATAAGACAACACTAAAATACAATATTACGGATTGTAATATGTATGTAGGTACGAATGAATATCGAACAGATAACTGATGAGTCCCAATAGAACATATATATAATACATTGTATACTATTTAGATAAGCTAGTGTATCTGGAAAAACCAAAACAATGTTATAATATATGTAATATTAATATTAACCATTTTTATAATACAATTTTCAACATCGCAAATTAGTTTTGTGCGGAATCGTGTTAATGAAAAGGTATATGCGGAATCATGAGCCGCTGTTTTATAATACCTTCATCGGCTTCATTGATATATTATTTTATTGGTTTTTTGTTAGTAGGATATTTGTATTTGATAACTTTAGTGAAGAGGGTAATAGGTATGTTATATAGAAATAGAAGTATTGTATTAGATGTTTTAACGCCGAGGAGAATTTAAAGAAAAAAGCCTCAAGAAACAAAATCAACTTTTTTATCTGTAAAAATTAATTATATTATTAATTATACAGTAATTCAGTTATATAGGTTTAATCTTAAATAAATATTTTTTTTAACTCAGAAGTTACAATAAATGAAAAATATTATTGGTAGTAAATAACTAAAAAAGTTATACAAGTATACGTAACAAGTATAACATAAGACTTAAATTTGACCTATGCAAACAGTGAAATTCTGACTATTAAAATTTAATATTTTTAGAAATATGAGTAGGTATATTTAACTAACTTAAATTTAAAAATATTCATCTTGTTAATACATTCAATTTAAGTATATCTTTTCTTTTTTAACCATCACATGAGGAACTTTCTTAATACCAATGACATTCAATTTTACGTGCAAATAGATTTGTTGAAGATCGAGGTTCCGGGTTCTTACGAAAAGGAGACTTGGCTAATGGATGAAAACGAAAAACGAAACACGATACCCGAACTCAAAGAAGCCGGCAACGAGTTATACCACAAAGGTAAATACAAAGAAGCCGAAGAAAAATACATGTTGGCTCTCGGATTTTTAGAACAAATCATGATGAAGTAATTACTCAATTCTTTTAATATAATAATTGTAATCGAAACTGTTTTTCCAGAAATTAATTGTACATTTTTTTACTACTTATAATTTAAATAATTTATGCCTAATTATAAAAAAATACAAATAAATAATTATTTGCACTTTTGACACTTTTGTTATTATTATCTTGAAGACTCAAACCGCATGAAAAGGAATGGGACGAATTGAACAAAATAAAAATCCCGCTGTTACTGAATTTGGCTCAATGCAAGCTTATTTCCAAGGATTATTACCAAGTCATAGAACACTGTACATCAATTTTGAATGACGATCCTGGTACACATGCATTCATTTCTTATAATATGAATGTATCGATTCGGAACTCCTAAACATATTATAATGGTTGTTTATTCTCTTTCAGATAATGTCAAAGCATTGTTTAGACGTGGAAAAGCAAATATATCTGTATGGAAAATGAATGAAGCTAGAAAAGATTTAAAACATCTCTCGACTCTTGATCCTAGTATGCAAGTTTCGGTTAACCGATTACTTTGTCAAATTAACGAAGCATTGAAAATAAAAGATGACGAAGATAGACAAAAATTAAGAGGAAAACTTTTCTGAAAAATTGTTTTTTCATTTTAAATATTAAATTATGATGTTGTTGTTATAAAATATATTATTTTGGTTTGCTTTTTACAGGATGCATGGTATTTGGATTTATTATTTGGGTTTTAGGTAATCATTTATACATAAAATGAAAAATGTATAAATTCTATATTTTTCAAACTGTCATTAATTACAATTGCAAGTTAATAGTTTTACAAAAGGGTTATATTATTATGTGATGACCTTTTATAATTATTTAAAATACTAGTTACTTTACAGTTCTGATTTTTTTAATCTACAATTTATACATTGTTTAAGACAATGTCAATTTAACATTTTTTATTTCCATGATCAATTGTAGTAAAACTTATCTTTGAATTTCTTATTTTTTAACCAAACTGTTTAAATTTAGTAGGTATTTGCACATAACCTATGAGAAAATTTATAAAGAAAGTATTAATCTTAAGTTGTATGTAGATTTTAATTTCGGTTTTATTTTTTAAATATATTCAATCAATTTAAGAGGAATTAATAATTTTATTGATATATTAATTATTATAAAATTCTCTTACATAGAACAACTGCATTTACGCTTTCTCACTAATAAGTTTAATAGGATACTTACTTTTATTGAGAAGTTATTGTAGTTTCTGTGATATACTTTATGAAAACTATGAAAAGGAATATAAAATATCATGAGAGACATAATAACTTATTATATCATAAGAATCTATCCAAGTAGGATATATATTCTCTAAATCTAGTTATAAATAAGTAAATTTATATTTTCTTATAGATATTATTTTATTATATTATATATTTATTTAAAATTTTATTATACAACACTAATTGTCAAATAAATCACTAAATGTATATTTTAAATTTAAAATACCAGAAAACAAACGACTGCAGAAACCCGAGTAAGCCCAAATTACTATCTCGCAGACTGCGCAGTGCAGTGTATTGGTAGGTATATTTTAATTTCCATTTCGTATAATATATTATTTGAAAAGCCCTTATAGTACTGATTTATTAAATTGAGTCTTTATATAAATGTATTTTAAGTGAACTTTATTCTGAAACACTACTTAAGTATGTCAATTCTGATTGTTAATAACACTTAGTTTATTTATTTCTATACAATTTATATTTATAATTTTTAAATAAACGGAAAAGTGATAATCAAATTATTATAATGATGTATTTTTAAGTAACTTACCTATATATAATACTTATTATTAATTTAATTTTAGTGCGGTAAATATTACCAAACCTCACCATAATAATATGTTATTTTCATAAATTGTTATAAAAGTGTTTATCTTATAAATACAAAATCTGTTTTTATGTAGACATAAAAAACAGTTATATTATTTTAGTATTTTGTACGATTTTCTCGTTTAAACTTATACGTTTTCTAAAATATTGTTTAATTACTCGAATTTGTAATGGTATATATATTAAGAATGTATAAAAATGTATTTTGTTATAAAAAAAAAAAAAAAAAAAATGTTTTTTTATTTGTTTAATCGTTTTTGTCATGGTTTTTTCTTTTGCTTTTTCTATCATAAAAAAATTAGGTATCTTAAAACCACGTCAACTTAATGACTTGGTGTTGAAAAACCGAAAACTATAAATAAAACCACAAGTAAAATATTTAAAAAGCCAAAAAAATAACGAATTTAATCATAAAAAGGTAAGTAAATAATTAAGTACCGCTCTGCTGAACATTCGCTGTGTAGTGGTTCACTATTATAGGTGTCTTAAAAGTTAAATATGAATTTAATGATATATTATCACTATATACGAAAAACGATTTTAAGCAAAATCGGTCTATTAGCCTATATATATTACCATCGATATGTTTTTTTGATATAGTTAGTATGGTTAGGCATTTTTTTTTTTACTTTTTGTATTATAATAGGTTAACAAATATTTTTTTTTTCATAAATATTGCATTTTTTATTTTATCAGATTTTAATAATTATGATAATATATATATTCGTATATCAACATTATCAACATGTATAACATACAATTTAATAACATATTTCTGTTAATACCGTAAAACAATATAAATAGATTTATAGTATATATAATTAATATACACTTTAAAATAAATCAAAAATGTTATTGCATGTAATAAAATTAATAATAATATAAAATGTATAAAAGTTTAAGTTCCTATAATTTGTGATTTTAACTTTAAATTCTTATAGATAAATATTGGACTTCAGATTTTCAATATTTTTTAACTAAGAAATTAACAACTTATGAGAAGCTTTGTACATTTTAAAACAACTCTACCTAGGAAATATAAGCTGTATAGGTCAGTTGGCTGTTTTCGAATTATATACAAAAAATAAAAAAATCATAATAAGTCTGAATTGCGTATGCTGTGTGCTCACAAGTTTATTTATTATAAACTTATGTGGATAATTTAAACTTCTTTTTGATTTTTCCAAGTTTTTTAAAAAAATGCTTAGTTATGGATAGGACTTGGTGGTTTTTAAAACTAATTAGTTTCTAGAAGAAAAAAATTTCATATCCCAGTAAACATTTTATCAAACTACCTGTTGAATGTTGGACTTGCTTACATAAAATTTAACAATGAACATTAAGTTATATTTCGTAAGATAGATCATAATCACAATACATATGACAAACAAAAACTAAATAGATATCAAGTAAGTGGTAGCTAAGTATGATACAATTTAAAACCTACCTAAAGTTGTTGATAAACTTTTTAAAAAAATCAAATAAAATATTGTACAATATGCATAAAGGATAAGGATTAAAAAACATGAATTTCTTGAATAAAAAAATCACATATTAGTGGCACTTAGCTTGGTGTTTTATTTAGGGTAATTAAGGAGGGATAATTAATTTGAATGGTCACGATACTGTTTCTTGTTAAAAATCATAACTATATATTATGTCACTTTTTATTTTTATCGTTAATAAAAAAATATGTATGAAAATACTTTTACTAATATATTAATAAAGATGAATGATTTTAACTTAAATATATCACCAAAAATTATTTACGCTGATTTTTAACTAGCTATTCATTTTGCACGTCTAGTTCTTTTTTTAAATTTATTAAGGAAAGGATTTTGTTTTTACTTAGAGCAGAGTTTATGAAAAAAAATTTAATCGGTAGGTTTATGTACAGATTTAAAAAAAAAACAGAAATTGAAATATTTTTATATAGTAGATATGTGGGTTATTCACCATTCGGTTGTCTTGGATACTCACATCACATTTATCACTGCTTGTTCGAATAAAAAATAAAAATTTAAATATATTATATTGAACTGCAGGTTACTAAGGAAATATAGTTGGTTAAAACATCGATCAAACTTTTTAAAATTAAAATATAATTTGATGAAATAACTTAATTTTATTATTATTTATAATAAAATAATCATTTAAATTATACAGTATATTATAATGGATATTATATCACAAAATGAAGTCGATTTTTTTATTGACCATATTAAAGAATCAAAACTTAATGAACTTGGATCAAAAATGTAATTAAATTAATTTTTAAATATTAATACCATAGGTGTACAAAAAACGCATGTTGCAGATGGTATGATAGTCATGATCGTTTGCAAAAACTTAACCAACAGGCTACGTTGGAAGCTTCTAAAGGAGGAGAAGAATATATTAAGGATCAGCTCATTAGTTACGGAAAAGTAATTAAACAACTTTATCTAACCTAACTTACGAAAACAGTTGTATCTGGATGCCTAATGAAATTTTTATGTTAAATTAAATTTGTACTTTTAAGGTTCCTATTATTGTACACGAAGCTATTTGTGTAGCTATATGGAGGGAGAAAGTTTTTCCAGAATTACTATGTATTATACCTAATCCTACACAATCATTCACATTATATTTTATAGTAAGTTTTTAGTACATTATTGTTACAATTTTTAATCAAACTAATACAATTATATACAATTTATTAATTAAATTGTATTTCATTGGTACGATCAATATATATTATAATTTATAATCGTATAAAAATTAAGTAAACAAAAACCATTATTTATGGTATATATAAAATTATAATGTAGTATTATAATATTGTTATAAACCATTAGTACCTATTAGTTCTTAATTTATTTTGTATATCAATGAATTTTATTTTAAATTCAAAATTAATCAAATGCATATCTGATTTAAGACGTAACTATTTTAAGTACAAAATTTTATTATGCATATTTTCGAAAAAACAGCATTTAACTGTTACTGTATAAAAAATTATGTATTTGGGATTTTTTAACAATATTATAATATTTGAATATATTTAATGAGATATAGTAAATGTATTTTGTTTATTCTTATTTTTTTTTTTAAATATAGTTTTATTTTGCATGAAGTTTATTTATTATTATTTTTTATTATTTTTATGTATTTTTAATATTTGATTAGTTATCGTTTTATTAAGTTAATTTAGAATAATTAGTTACTTTTTTGATACTCACATTTACAACTCTTTATATTATAAAGTACCAACATATTACATTTCTGGTGTCATGAGAATATCAAAAGATTTAAATACCTATTTAATTATGTTTGATAGTCAGATGAATTTTATGTAAATTAACTTTTAATATAATATTGTTTTTTAATGATACTATTGTTTATTTAGTATTTGTGTAATTGTATATTTACAGTTTTAATTCTTAATTACTATTTTAGTTATTTCATGAAACTGTAGCGATTGGACTATTACAAAAGATACTATTTCACGAGGAAGGTGCTCAGTCTTTAGGAAATTATGCTTTGGATCTGTTTGACCATATAATATTTTCAATCACACATATAGCTATTGGGTAAACTATTAATTAAATATTAACAATTTATTTATTTATACACAATTATTTTTCTTTCTTTTTAATAATGGACTTAGAAATACAAATAATTTCCAAATCTGCTCGAAAATAACTGATATGTCAGTAATGGATGAAATAATCGAACATAAACATAAAATACAATTTGAAGTGGGAATTTGTTGTATTGGTATCATGTTTAATATGTTACTACACATAAAAAAGTAAAATTTGAATATATCTTTACATGAATCTAAATTAAAATAGTTCTAAATATAATATTATGAAACTAATAAATGTATATATATTTACATGTTAATTATAGCTTATCCTTATCTGTTACCACAAGAATGACAACTAATAATGATGTTCCAATGTTAATATGTCAACTATTAAATGTAAAACCTTGGATAAAGTTGGAAAACAAAAAAAAGTATATTTTTCAAGGTAGGGACTAAAATTAGGTACCTGTTATTGTCTATAAGTGCCTACTAACCAAAATTGTTATAAACAAGTAAAATTTGTATTAACATGGAGTGCATTTTTAACAGATAATTCCTGGAAAATAATGAATGAAACAAATAATATTATACCAAAACAAGAAGCTCATTTATGGTTAAGTCTACACGAATTTATCACATCGGAACAGCTACGTAACAGTTATGAAATAACTCAATTTCGGAAAAAAAATCTTATGCAGGTAAATGTAATAATGAGAAACTTAAGAGGACCCTACATGCCTACACAGACATTTGTTGTCTCTGGTTCCGTCTTACAAGTGCTTAACATAGCAAATTTACATTCAGCAGATTAAGTTTAGCTTCGTTAGTTTAAAAATTATAAAGAAATGACCTATAATGAAACTTGATGGTAAGAACATTATTTGTGTTCGTATATGGGATTTTACAATAGTTCAATTTTTTAGCAAGTTTTGTGTATGTAAATTATAGTAAATTAAAAATGCTCATAACTCGCTTAAAAATTGAATTAACGTAAAAACTCAGGTACAAACACAGAAAATATTCTTGCCATCAGGTTTCGTTATAGGTCTATTCACTCTAATTTTTAAACTAACGAAGCTACGAAGTTAAACTTAATCTGCTAAACGTAAATTTGCTATGTAACGCACTTGTAAGACTACGGAGACAACAAATTCCTGTGTAGTGTCCTCTTAATTGTATATTTATCAACAAATCTGCTTAATAAAATAACAACTTGTAAACAATAATCAATAGGTATCAACTTAATAAATATTAATATATAAACATATTTATTTTAAATGTTTCATTATGAATAAAAATAATTTAAATCTTATACAAAATTGAAAATGAGTAATAGAATATTTACTATAATATATATTTTTTTATCTATTATTTATAAATGTATAATATACCTACTCACACATTATTTTTCTTTGGTGTTTAATAGTTACAGAATTTACTCAATGATAATCTTTTGGATCAAATTCCACCATTGATACACTTAAAACAATGTTTGTATCAATTGAGTCTAACAGAAGTTTCAGCAGGATTTAAACGTCCACTTATTATGGAATTAAATACTGAAGTAAGATACTATCAATATAGCAGTGCTTGTAAAAATTCGTGCAGTAAAAAACATTTGATTGTACATTTGTACCTATTTATATATGTGGAACTTAATATTATGCTTCTAAAAATTTTAAAATACTACAATGTAAAAAAAAGTTTCAATTACACAATAAACACTCTTAATGTGTAAAAATAATTCCTTAATTTTTCATAGAGAAATGCAAAGTATGAACAAATCTTACCAAAAAATTGCAAAAATAAATCATTTAAAAACTATAATATCATTAGCCTACTTTTCTTCAGGCTTATAAATTAAATTACAGTATTTTTTCCGAAATTTTGTTAGATACTTTATGATATTATAATGCCTGGCATAGGTATTCAATAATAGATACACTTATACAACAAGTAAATAATTTCATACTTCAATTCAATACTAAAAATAAATTATCTTTTATTTCCGCTAATGAACCAACTTAATAGCCTGCACATGTAAATAGATCTCCCGGCCTTTTTTTACTTCTTCATTACTTCTATCTTAACTAATTTAAAATATCATATAATAAGCTTAAATCATTTGTGAAGTGATAAATCTTCTGTACAATTAAGTTAAGTGCATTAACTGCCTATTTCTTCAGATATTCCCTCTCATCTGACTCCAAAGAATGGACACACTATTTCAATAAAAATAAGACGAAATACTAACACCCAAATTCCCTTTAAAATGTCTTCTTGGTAAAAACAATGCAAGGTATCAAATTCTTCTTCCCTCACCCCAAACAAATAACACACTAACTGAAATATCAATCTTAACTTTCCCATTCTTAATAAATCTTATGAAAGTTAAACGTGAGACTAGATCCCTTATAGCAAAGAATAAAATAATAAAACAAAACATAACTAATTAGTAATTACCGATAAAAATTCAATTAGCAAAATACAGATTCGAATAATTTAATTTACATTTGATTACCTATACTGGTTACTTTAACTCGTAATAATAGCTTCCTCTAGAAAATGACTAAAAACTCATTACCTAGCGCAATAATACTTTTCCTCTTTCAAACAACTTAACAAATCTTAAGTAATTTTCAATTTATAAAAATTAAAGCCTTTTGGTAGGTATTCAATAACCTCATCCTATTCTTAGTTAAATTCTATGCCAGCTGCAAGCCTACGCTAATCTAGTTAAATCATTCTTGTCTTCACTTTTGTCTATATCTCTTTTCTGTAATGTCAGTAATTCATAATATTTGGCTTAATATTCACCAGGACATGTTTATTAGTATGTATACCAAAGTCCAGAAGGATTTAATCATACAAATTTATGGATGCCTAATGACTAGTCCACTAGTCACTAGTGGCTACTATAAAATGTTGAAAAAATTCTTAGTTTAACAATTACTAAAAAATTTGCATTACATCAAGTTTGTCAAAAACCTTGAAATTATATAAACATAGATAATAAAATTTCATGTAGTGAATACTAGAATCTCAAAGAAACAAATTTCTACTTATGTTATCAATCTAAAATATTTAAAATTACTTCGAAAATGTATATGCAAATGCATTAACTTACAAGCTCTGCACGGGCGATTGTAAATTCCGCCAGAATACAGATTAAGATAAAAAGGTAATAAAAGGTAAAATGTAAACTCCATCAAGTTTTTTTGTTTAGCTGCTCAGTGCTCATATTGCCTTGCCTTGTGCCTTATTACATTAAATAAATTGATATAATATATTGCGATGATATTAATGGAGTAATAATACAAGACTTAGAATATTTACAAATTGTATCACATAATTTTAGTTTACATACATGACATAACTAGGTATATATTTTTGCATTATTAGGTAGGTATAACGATTATTTATTATGAATTTTTTACTATGATTAAAATATTTAATGTGAACGATATAATATAATATTAACATATTAACATACTATAATTTTTTTTAATAATATATTATATTAATTTTATACTACTACTTGATTTTCTTCACTGTCGGAGTTAGCAGCAAAAAAAAGGTACTTGTAGCGGAGTTTACATGCGCCCGCTCTGCACAACCCATTAAAAACAAAACTATTTAAAATGTATTATTAATTTTAAAATTATTTGTCTTCTGACTAGATAAGGCCTACTATTTTAAGTACTTATACTAAACAATGGAAAAAAATCGCTAGAACTCAAGCAGCTTATTTGTTTGGAAATGACTCATATGATGTAGCTAAATCGTAAGTATATCATTAATTTTATTTTATTTACGGAACTTAACTTATATATATATTAAGTATAATTAAATTAAATTATAGTTATATTTTTTTGTATTTAGATTTGTTTTTACTTTTAGATTTTAAGCGTATCAATAAACATTGATTTTACGGTAATGTGTGTTTGCCATCACTTTTAGGATAGTAAAACCGATTTAATATTCAACTTGGGGAAGGGGTGGTCGAAAGTAAAAATTTTACAGTAATATTCTTAATAATTGAGAAAAATAAAAAAATTAACGGAAAACGGGGTTTTTAGTTTTTGAAAAAATGAAATAGGTACTTAATTTCATTATAATTCAACAACGAATAATTTTAGATACCTACTTTAAATTTCCACCAAATGATTATATTATCATTTTCTGTATACAGTATAATTTTTAAAATAATTTTAAAACTATCAATAAACAATTGAAATTTTAAATACTTTTTTTTTAAAGCATTAAATTTTTTTCAGTTATAAAACTTAAAATGTAATTTAAAATCGTATAAACATTTTTCTTGTATATCTGTTTAAAAATACTAAAATACAATCACACAATTTGTAAAAATTGCCAACTATTTAATAGTTAGAAGTTCATAAAAGAATTACTTACATTGTATAACTATGAATAATTAATTTAATACAATATTCTTATAATAATAGTAGTTCAGTTTATACTGAAACCAAAAAATCTAAAAAAAAAAGCATGAACATAATTCATTTTTATAGTCATTTGAAGTTTAAATTTGAATCAAATTACATACCACAAAAACAATGTTAATTATTTTTAAAAATATTATTTTATTTTTTTTTTTTTTTTTGGGGGGGGGGGGGGGGGGGGGGTACACATATTATGTAAATTAAAATTTTTCTATATGCAAAGAAATTTTCAAAATATGTAGATTAATTTCAAGGTATTACCTATTTATACCATGAACCTATTTTACACATTTTGACGGCTAGATGGAATTAATTCAAACAAATTAATATTAATGATATAATTTGGTATAAATAAATATTATATAGTAACAATAACTTATTAATCATTACTATTATAATAAAAACAATGTTTTCGTCAAGTATTAAATTAACCTATTTTACAACTAATAATAAAATAAACTTCAATTTAATAAAAATATCAAAAACCATAAGAATTGTACTCATTATCATAGACGGAACTAGAGATTTTTATTAAATTGAGCCACTTTCCTGATCAATTCCGATACGTATTTATAAACTATATGAAGAGTGGTGAAATATTCTTAGTATTATTTTTTATATATTTGTATTAAACACCTACAAATACAAAGTAATAATGTATATATATGAGCACTTACAGTTCAATGGGTATTATTTTTCTATTTAAAAGTCGAAATCCGAATTTCTTTGATTCAACAAATTATCTATGTGCTGTTATATTTGTATAGCATTTTATATTTTTATATTTAAAAATTACTAAAATTCAAAAAAAAAAAATTTACTTTTTTAAGTGATTTACCTAATTAATGCATTTTAATGTTATTTAAATCAAGACTAACTCAAGAGAATACTTAAAAAATATCAGAGACTACTAAACGATGATAATATGAAACCATTTTTTAAACATTTTCAATTACTTTATTGACGTCAATATTTTTTGCCATGATATATATCAATGTATATGGAACTAACAAATTGCCTATAGACGTCCCTGATTATAGAGGTATATAGGTTAAGTTTTAACATGTATACCTGTAGTAGGCAAGCCCGGATTAAGGATGGCAGGAGGGGCCAAGTCCCCGGGGCCCACGAGTGTTAAGGCCAAGGCCTAAGGGCCCATGGTTTTCTCGGTTTAAAATTACATAAAGTGATAATTTTTACTTTTTATAGTACCTACAAAAATATTTTTATTTTTTTCTTGTTTGAGCTAACAGTCGATGGGGCCCGTCGACCATGTTTACCACCAATAGTATGAACTATGGTAAGTGGGGAAACATAGCGTCATAGCCAGGTTTGTGTTAGTTGGGAATAGGCATATATTTTGATATTACTGTATTTAAAAATAGAATTGGGAAAATTTGTTTATGTGACTGTTTCGGTCAGGATACTCATAATTATTCAGATACCTACCGACTAAACCTGTTTACATAAACAAAACTTAATTTTATGTGTAAATAAATATTTTAATAAAAATATAATATTTTTTAAATATTTTTATCCTCATCAATCGTTATCATACTTAAATAAAAATTTAAAATTTGTTTTATTGTATAATTTTATAATTTTAAAGAATTGTTTTTATTGATGGGGGCCCACAACCATGTATTGGCCTCTGAAGCTCTTGATTCGGGCTTGGTAGTAGGTACCTGCATTATTATAATCGAAATCATTCAAGATGAGCGAAAAAAGTCTGAATAACAAAATTAAATGAAAATGTGATATTATTATTTATTATTAAATATTAATATGTTCATTTAATATTTAATATATTAATTGTGCTGTAAATATTAATATGGGGCAAGATTTGTCTAGGCCAAGGCCAGTTGACCCGGGCTGTAGTTCCCGCCTATGCATGTGATATTTTGACAAATTTTTTCCGCTTAGAATTAACACCCAATCGACACTTACAATATATCAGTGGTTTTTTATTGCCTGCCTATCTTTTATTAATTTTTTTTTAGATAATTTTTAGATGAAAAAATATATAAATTATCAATTCTGAGTGACAATTTTAGTAAAAAATTGAGTCTAGTTTAGGCTTGATTAAAAAATTACTTTAAATTATTATCTGGAAAAATAAAATAAAAATTATGAAACAGCATAGAAAATAAATTGTAAAGTCTAGTTAATTTCTTATGAGCGTTAAAATGTTTACGGAAGTCATTAAAATTGCGAATTATTTGGTAGATATTTTCACAGGCTAATAGTCTATTAGTCTGACCAATCTGTTTAAAATTATTATTTATTGTAGCTATTGTACATTCAAATACAATTATTTATCATTGAAATAAAATTATATATACCCGTCTCATTTCTTATAACTGAAAATAATATAGATGAAATGATATATCTGTTTTTTTTTTTTTAGATTGAGTGATACGTATGAACATATTGATCACTTTGAAATCAAGGAAAATATTTGCACTCATTGTAGACAACCAGCAAAAAATAGGTGCTCCAAATGTAAAAATCAATGGTATTGTAGCCGGTAACTGAAAACAAATATAATTTTTGATAAAATTGAATTTTTAAAGTAATTACTGTTATATTTCAGGAAATGTCAAGTAAGCAATTGGGATCAACATAAAGTAATCTGCCAGTAACTGAAATATATTTTCTATATTATATAGTATATGTTTATGTTTTATAAATCTTAGTTATAAATTAATTTTGGTAAATCAGTACATTATTCAATAAATGATCGAATCATCTCTAACATAGACTCTGGTTTTGGTTTTTCACATTCCCCAGTTAAAGTGTAACCAGCTTCCTTAATAGCAGCACCTGTAGTAGGACCAATAGCAAAAATCTGTAAAAAATAAAATTAATATTTAAGAATATAGACTTAACACAGTTAGACATTACTAAAACACAATTATTTTATAAATATTGAACTACATTACTATCACAAAGAATTCATATATTATAATTAAAACAAAACAGTCTATGTTTTAAAAACAATTTAAATAATCCTATCTAAGTTGGAAAATTAAATTTTTGTTTTGTTAACTATTTATAAGTATTTTTAATTTATAAATTAAATTAGTGTTGTTTATCCATAAAAGATTAAATATGAATAGTAATTGATCTCTTAATTAAGTGTTCTGAATCTTTTATGTTTTTAACTGGACATCCCCCATCCATATAACCTTATGTAGTGTTTCCTGTGTTAAAAATGTGTTACATAGAAAATTTACAATTAATGGTTTTCATTTATCGTTAATTTCAACATGTAAATTAACTTACAATTTGTTTTTAATGGTCACAACACTTTTTGTGGTTTGTTGAAGTAGTTTTTGAATATTTTAATTTTGAAGAGTTAATAGTATTTATAAATTGTAATATTTTACACTTACAATTTATTTCATAATAAGTGTATCAACACAATTTCAACAAATCATAGTAAATGTTATAGTTTATCTTCAAGTTCAATAATAATAAAATTCATTCTAATATTAAAACTAACAAAACTAAATTAGAATTAATGTATGTAAATTTGCTTGATAGAAACTATACATTAGAGAAAAACCATTTTAATAGTTGTAAACAACCTAAATATTTTACAAATTCATACAAAACTGTTATCGCCTGATCAATAATACTACCAACCCAATCATTTAATCATCAAAATTACTGATTTAGTGCTAGGTGATATTATGGTAAAAAATGTATGTCTGCGACTTCTATTACAAACAACAGCCTAAAAAAAAAGAATAGCATTGTAAAACATAAAATTGTCTGCTTACATCTTATATAAATAAAACTTTTCATATTTGTTTTAGTCTAAAATAATGAAGTAAAATAACATGTATAGTAAATACTGTTTCAAAAAAAAAAAAAAAAAAAATTAATATTTAACTTCTGTGTTCAGTTTTAATAAATAAATAATAATACAAATTATTTTACAAATCTCAGTAACTATTAGCCTGAGCAACATAATTTAAACTTTGAAAAAAGTTTTGTTAAATTATTAATTTTCATTCAGTATTCAATTAAAATTTTGTTTACCTTCAGTTACTTTATTATGTTTATATTAAAAATGAAATATTTCAATACTCACACTCGTAATTCTAGTTTTGACCTCAAAATCATCTTATCTATTCTTAATAGGTCACTGATCTTAAAAAATGTTATATAAATAAAACTATGTACCTTCTTTAAAGTTCTAGATACCCTTTTCATTCAACATTCCTCCATACTCAACTTTTCATTGTTATATTTTGCATTGAATGCTAAGTTTTTTAAATAATATACTTTTGCAATTTTAAACTTAATATTAAATGGTTAATCTTAAAATACTGTTGTTACATTCCTAAATTTAATTTTGTAATTGTTATATATTATAATCATTGACATTTTGGGTTTACCTAAAAAATTGTTGATTGGTATAAATTTAAAAAAAAATTCAAACATTAAAATAAATATTTACTTATCTTAATAATAAAACATAAAAAAAATAAAGTAATTAATTGTATTTTGTATTCAAATCTTTTATTCAAGACTTAACTGTTATACTTACATGTAATTGATTAAATAATTGTTTTGGCATCAAATCTATTATTGCACGAAAGCCAGAAGGACTAAAAAAAATAACTCCTATTTGACTTTTAATTTGACTTAATAACATACTTAAATTTGTCTTTAAATTATTATGAGGTATAGTACGGTAAACTTCTATATTATCAAATTTAACAGTTTTTATATTATCCGATAGTATATTTAGATTTAAATTTCCACATGGAGCTAATAATGGTTTACTTAATTCATCTAAAAATTGAAAATATACATTAATAAAAACAAGAATACTTCTTATATTAGGTCATTGTTTTCCTTTTTTAATACTGTACATTTTAAAATAATAGGTATCAAAGCCGTAGCATTGCCACTATCGGCGCCAATTGGTTCAAAACCAAGTTCTTTGTTTACCAGCCTAGATGTTGTTTCTCCAACAACAAATATAGGTTTTTTATGCCAATTTTCATCTAGCTTATTATTGGCCAAACACTTAATGATTCCTCGTGCACATCTTGGACTAGTTATTACCATACCTAAATAATTAAACAATTAAATATATTAAAAGTAAATAATTGTATAGGTAATTATTAACTTTTAAATCTTTTGTAAAAATTATAAAATTAATTTCAATTAATTAATCTTGATTTGTCTAATAAAATACAGGAATTAATGTATATTAAAATAATTGTTATTGCCTTAGCATAATAATACATAGGTAATATAAATAATAACAAATTATACTAACCAGAATAATCTTGAGGCTTTTGTAATTTGTGGTTAAGCGTATCAAAGTTATGATATTCAAATTCTAAAGTGGGTATTAAATGAGCTTCATATCCATGTTTTTTTAAAATGTTTATATATGGGTCTATTGGCTCATTTTCTTCAGAATAAGCTTTACAAATTATGAAAGTTGTATTAGATTTAGAACGAGACATAACTTAAGTATGTGGTAAAATAAAACTCAATTGTAGTTGAAAGCAATAATTAACAATTAAAAATATCTAAACATGAGTAGTATACATGAAAATAAAGTATACTCTTTTAAAAGTATAAAGTTTATCTTTATTATTGAACTTGAAAATTTATTATTAATATTTATTATGTAGTCACAAGTTATTGATGAATAATAACTAATAAGTATTAAGTAACTGAAAAACTGAAGAATAATATGTTATCATCTAAGATATTAGAATTATCAGTTATCAGATAGTGATTTATAACAAACTTCAGATATAATCATGAACTAAGAAGATTCGTGTATATAATAAAAAAAAACAATTTAAAATACATTGTGTTTTCCATTTTAGTAAAAATAATATTTTAAATAACCAAAAATAATTAAAAAATAAAAATTAAATAATTATTTGATCATAAAATGTTTACTCATATAGGTACAAATAATAATAAAATGGAATAACCCATTCATATTAAGTAATCTTCAATATAACTTTCTTTCTTTTTTTTTTTTTTTTTGGTACACATATTAAGCAATGATTATTAAATAAACTCATTTAATAAAAATAGTGTTAAAAATTGCTTTAACTTATGAGTTAACTTATACAATAATAACTTTACTTTAACTATGTATAAAAAACTATATTCTTAATAATATAATAATAATATGTTAAATTGATTTTGAAATATTGTATTTGATGTTATTTTATAAATTCTTGTGTTTGCAATAAATATTATTATAATTAAATAATAAAAAGTTCTGATTTTAATCAATAAAGGATGATATTATATTATTATTCTTAGTATAAGATTAAAGAAATAAAAAATTATAACTAACAATAACTAATGTATACTTTATGTATTTTACATATTTCATAATTCATAAATTAGTAATTAGCATAAAATAATGAATTATTATTTAATGGATAATAATGAGTGATAATATATTTAACTTCGATGAAATTTATTGTTATTATTGTTTTTTTTTTTAAGTACAACTTGACTACCATTTTTATCTAATGACAATTTTAATTATATTAATCATTGTACAATTGTACATAATATACTTGGATATAAATATACAATAATAATAATTGATACGAGTGATGATATATTATTTAAGATAACATTTTTTTTTTTTTGATAACAACAAAGTGATAACGGCGTTGGTGCTCCAATCGACTGCGTAGTGCGTATAGACAGACCCATAGTTCATGGATATAATCACGGTCTTGGGAGATATATTATATTGTTTATATTATCTGTGTAACAAATCAAGGGCAAATCTTGGATCTCAAAAAAATAGGAAAATCAGCACTGTGTTTCATTTTCATTTATTTTTGTGTGCTTGTGCAGTTTTGCTTAACATTTTCTTCGGATATAATGAAAATAATTCAATCAAAAACTTTGAGATTAGTTTTGGTTAAAAATTGGAACTAGTTGGTTCTATTCAAATAGTCAGGAAAATGAAAAGATAAATCCCGGTAAAGATAGGTACTAAAAACGGGAATATTTACGTAAAACCAGTTTTCTACAGAATTTATTGAACTATCTAACTTCTAATTTTATTTGGTAAACTCTACAAGATTTCAAATAAATGATACTTGTAGTAATTTAAAAGTATAAACAATAAGCACATAAACACAATTTTTTTTCAAAAGCAAAAAAAGTTTAAATTTTTACGAAATTTTTCAAAATTACTAATATATTTAAATCATTTTATGGTTAAAATTTATAAAATCTTCAAGTAGAATAAATAAACAAGATCGCAGTAAATTGTTAAAGCTTGAAAATTTGATTCTAGATTTTTAATTTTTTTTCTATTATTATTTAAAAACCCTCCATTTTAAGTCGTTATTTACTTAAGAATGTTAAAATATACATTGTTATAGATATTAAATATATTTTACGTTTAATTTATACGTGTATATTTTTTGTGGTAAAATAACATAGATTTAGTTGGTCGACATTCGTTGATCGAACTTACTTTAATTTTTAAGTATATCTACTTACTTATATAATTTTCAATACAAAATTATGTTTAATTAGCATTGAACAAACTTCAATATGGTATATCTGTTATTTACTAATTTCTAACAAAATAATATATATACATTATGTCAAAAAAGTGATTCGTTTTAATCTAAAAACGTTGTATGAATATATAGGCTATATATTTATTATAATACATAAAATACAAAGTATACAAGTTTCAAATAGGTATACCTATTAATAATTTAAATAAAATACTGGTACACAAAATAATCATGACTTGATATTTAAAGCTAATAATAGTTTAACAATTGTAGAACCATTATTTCATAAACATGTAAAAAAAGAAAAAAAACATTTTTGGCAGATAACGAAAATTAAAAAACAAAAATAATTTAGACCCGTTGCTTATAAATATTTTATTTTGTAAATGTTATACTTTGTTTATACATCATTTGATAGAAAAGACTTTTTTATTGTTAAATAATTATCACAAATTACAATCTTACCCCTAGTTGATATGGTTTTCTAAATTTCATCAGTGCTTCGTACTTCATATTTGAGTACTTAAGCATTTTTTGTCAATGCGGATGGAAATATGTAAATTGTAAATGTATAATTGAAATATGAATAAAAACAATTCTTCTTTTTTTCTGCAATAAAAGGCAAATCAAATCTTCCCGCTTTTTAAGCTTACTGTTTTCAATTATCAAACGTTATCTATTAACCACAACCCTGGTATTGGAAAAAAAATTAACGTCTATCGGTATTCTATGGACTGTGCTTGTACTTACAACTCATAGACGATTCGCGAATGAGTGTTAATATAACACATTTTTTCTTGTCGTACTCAAAAAGTCAAAAATAACCACTACCGTTCTATAACGCTCACAATATGTCTTTGAATCAATTGAATCCAGCTTACGAGGCTATCGGAAAAGGGTTCGTACAACAATATTACGTATTATTTGACGACCCGTCCCAGAGGCCTTCGTTAGCCGCAATGTATAACGTAAGTGTTATTATTATTTTTTTTTTAAATAGTGTGATGTCTATCTACAACTTGTTACTAACTTATTTACTGATTATTAATTACTTATTATTGTTTTAGTATAAAAACGAGTGAATCAATTAAATCTCATGGTATTTGAAGTTTAAATATTCACATTATGAATTCATGAACATGTTTGTTTTTGTTACAGCCGGAAACGTCTTTTATGACTTTTGAAGGTGTTCAACTACAGGGTACAGTTAAAATAATGGAAAAATTAAATGTGAGTGATATGTAGAAATATTTAAAAAAAAACAATTATTTAAACTATTTTTTATAGTTAACAATCATACCAAGAATTTTTTTGTTTAAAATGTCTAAAACTTAACAATAAATATAAAACACTCCAAACTTATAAAAAATAAGTAATTTCTGATAGAAAATGGGTATAGTAATTAAGTATTTTGTATTTTATAGTTTTTTATTTATGCATGATCAATAACCATGTGACTGCACTAATCATTGGATTTAGCAACAACTTAATGGTATGCATTTTATGCAGTACTTTTTAATTCTTGTGAAATTCATATTACTCATTTTTCTTATCTCTATCTGTCATACTTGTTACACAGTAAAATAATTAGGTAATTATTTTTTTTAAAACTATCATTTAAAATGTATTGAAATTTTGAAATATACAAATATAAGGATTTTAAATATTTTAGTATAAACATTTATATTGTATAACTTAATAGCATAGGTATTTAATTTATAACTTCAGTTATATCATTTTTTTCAAACATTTTATTTCATTATTGGTCTAGCTCACTAAAACCTTCCTAATCGTATTGGTCAAAATATAATTTTTTTCTTATAATAAATCAACTTAAAATTAATTTTTATTTAATTATACATATATAATTATATATATATATTTAAAAAAAAATAAAGTAGATACCTTTATTTTAATTTACTAGTATAAATAAGTTTGATAAAAATGTTTTACTTAAAAAAACACTTATATTTTAGGTGTATAATAAAATACGATTAAGTCCTTAACATTGTTATGATTAAAAATAAAACAATAAAATTTATAATCTATTCATGTATAATCATTTTTTCATATTAATTTAAAGGATTTGCTAATATTTTAACAAATTCTGAACTCTCAATTATCACATCTTTTTCCACAAACATAAACATAAATGGTCTTTGCAACAATTGGTTTAAGTTAAAAATTTGTTATTAGCTTGTATTTTTGGTAATAATATAAATGTTAAAATTAATAATTATAATTGATACAATATTTGCCAATAGTTTTTTGTAAAATTGATAATAAAGAATAATCAATACATGTATTCCATTTTTCACAACTATTTATTTTATTATTGTCACTCAAATTTTTTATAATTTAAGTATGTATATAATTTTGTTCTAAGTTATAATTTTTTTTTTTTTTAGAGTTTAACTTTCCAAAAAATCAATAGAGTTGTTACTTCAGTGGACTCACAGCCAATGTTTGATGGTGGTATATTAATCAATGTCTTAGGTCGTTTACAAGTAAGAAATGATTTATTTATATAAATACGAAATATTTTTAATTGATTATTTATATTCCAGTGTGATGAAGATCCACCTCATCCATTCAATCAAGTGTTTGTATTAAAATCAGTAGGTACTACTTTCTATTGTGCCCATGACATCTTTCGTTTAGGAATTCACGATACTATGTAAAACATTGTATTATTATATTGTGTTTAATGTCACTTATATGTTGTCAATAAATCAGTTTTGGTAACTAATGAAAAAAAAACAACTGTATCCTCAATTTAATTAATTTTATCTCGTAAAAAGTTTGATTTGCTGAAATAAATTTTACTTGAAAGTTTTTTTTTTTGGTATCATGTTAACTAATTATAATTAATGTAGATTACTACTGATCAGATTATGTTTTTGGTTTTATTAATTGTCTGTCTCTACTTACACAAATACATAGAATTAAAATTGTTTAGAGTTATTTATTTTGAGTGTTCATTAAACATTAAAAAAAAAAAAAAAATTAGAATCATTTTGAAGTACATTTAAGTTAATTGTGGAATATATTATAAATAAAATGATGTATTTTTGTATAACTTATAAATACATTTATTACTAATTTTGTATTTTTTATTTGTTCCTTATCACATTCTTTCATATACAACTTTTTTATTTAAATTTTGTTTTTTATCCATATTATGTATTAGAGGCACTAAATACTATATAAGTAAAGTATATGCAACACTGAACATATAATTTAAGTGGGTATTGCAGAAGTTGATGAAATAGTTTGTAGAATATAAGTATAAAAATTGTAATTGTTTGGATATAAGTATATATATTTTTTTTGATGTATTAATATAAAATACTCATTGTTTCTAGTACTTTACATTTCAGATTTTATTTTTTTAAAACTGAGATCAGTGCCTCTGTTCTATGCCTACAAGATTTTTAATGCATAAATATTGATAGTATTAATAATTTGATCAAATACTTATATAACAATTGATAAAATATTTGATTAAATTATAATCTTTTTATATCAAATCTGTTTGTGTTAATTAGTTTTTCAATGCAGTGGTGAAAATAGTATTGTTAAAAATATAACTATTCTTTGTGATACACAAAATACAACTAATCCATTAAAATTATTTTGAAAGGTAAAAATAATGGAAGATATATGGTTTTATTTTGTGTACAAATGGATAATCAGTTTTTTGTTATCTGATATAAACTTCTGTGAGTTTTTGGTTAATTTGAGTTCTTCATGACTTATTAACTCAATCGTTTTTCTTATTCTATTAAATAATGGAACTATAAAACATAGTTTTTTGTTTGAATACAGATCTTATTCATTATGGTTTTCTATATCAATACAATGGTAGGAAGTAATGTATTTTTTTTTAATTTCACCGGGAAAATGTATGTGATATTTTTGTGTTGCTTCACCTTTGGGAGCTCTTAAAATGCTTCAATATTCAATTTATTTAATAGATTCTTATTAGACATTAGATCAGATTAGTACTTGAGTATAGAGTGTATGCAAAACAACGGGTTAGAAGTAATTCAGATAGGGTATATACTTTTTTTTTTTAACATTTATTTGAAAACTTACAATTTGTAAAGGTATAATTTCAATAAGCATATGGTGTTCCCATAGGGTATACTACATATACGGCATATATTTACAAAATTTTTTTTTCATTATTATGGGTATACACTGCGTATGATCTCAATCATAATCGATATTATACCATTATATCGATCCATATTATCTGATAAATATCTATGATAGGTAAGTACTTAATAATCTGGTTTAAACATTTTCCCATATTATTGACACGCTCTTTACCGGCTTTACTCCTATAAAGTATAAACCATAAGAAAAATATTCTTATTGTATTAAATGTATATATTTTATGATATAGTATACTCTCAAAAAAATTAATGGTAACACCTCTGTAAATATGTAATGCAAAATATACAAGTATATTTTTTTTGTACCTGAAAGATTGTATTTAAAGAAATTACCCATCAATAACACCTTTGATTGTCGATGATAATCGACGTTTAATAGGAATACAAATATAATATGTATGCTAGTTTCAGTCATGTTAATAAAAGTAATTACGATTTTAGTTGAAAATTTAAACATAATCTAGGCGCCCTTAGTAAGCACATCAATGATTATAATATGTGATTCAAATTAATAGAACCAGTTGTTAATTATGCGTGGTTTAATTAATAATTACTGAAATAATAATGACTCAATTGAGCAAAGATTCATTTTTGTATGTAACCAATCATCCTAATTTCCTTATTTGTTGATACCTGTACAAAGAAATTCTTTTTATAATTCAATCCTATAAAAACAGAAATACATAAAATGTGAAATATTAGGCAAATTATTAATAGAGGTACCCTCTATATATATTATTAAGTCCATACGTCACAGACATTTTATTTATTTAATATTTAAATATATAAACATTATTTCGCTGTACAAACTTATAAAAATTTTTCTTACAACTACTTCACAAAATAAATTAGGTACATTATAAATTTATAAATATTAATACTCAGATAAATTGAACAGTGTACGAATACAAAATGATGGCAAAAGATACAAAAAACATCAACATCATTATTATTATAACAGATTAACAAGGGCAGTTTTTCAGACAAATATTTCATAAAAATGAGTTTAATTACCTTATATTCTATACATAATTAAAATTTTTATTAAAATTTGTATTAAACAATTTATATTATTATGATTACTATGAATTTGCTTTAGTTTACGATATTAAAGTATCACAGATAAATATAGTGTGAACATCATTATTAGGTACGTATGTAAAACGAATGCGTCAAACGACAGTGTAATACAGTAAAACATATAATGGCAATATTTTAACGTAACAACTCAAGCTTTTAGCAAGTGAAATTTACACAAAATCAAATTTATTGTCATTTAATTTTTTAATTTTTCATAGATTTTAGGCTACAAAACGGGGATTGGAATGACCGTGCAAATGTGTTTCGTCAACGGGATACCTGTTTTGAACAGTATCTGGTCCATTATCTGCTGAAATTAATTCATGTTGTTTAAAAGAAACAAAATGACAATGATGTCGTAAGAAAAAAAAAATCGTGTGCCGAAAACAGTGAAAACCCAACAAAGCGTATTTTAAACAACTAGTAGTTAAGCGAAGATAATATTAAGTAAGATCACACGTCCATACCACACAAATAATAGCAATCACCAATAACATTAATGTTGGGCTTAGTAATATTAAACTACTATTTAGTTGTATTTACAAGACTGTAGATATATAATATAGCATAATAACGTATTTATGATAATTAAGACAATAATATATTATTACAAATATTAGGCAGGTATATAAAAACATCAGGTTAATAAATTACAGTTTTAATACGTCGTAGTTATTCGTTATTTTGAATCAATGTTTTATTTTAATCCCACGATTAGATTTAAATAAGTATGAGTTTCATGCATAAATATTGTTAAAAACGTACCTACGCATATGCGTTTGTATAGTACAACGATAGATAGGTAGAGTAAAATTACACGACATTCACTATCATAGATATAACAAGATTAACATGTCCATGTCCATTACACAGTTGTAAACGGTATTGTTATTAAATTACAAACAGTTGATTAGAGAATAGATGCATAGAACATCATTCTTAACTGTAGCAAATCTAACATGAAATTATTCTGAGGCAAGTAAAAACTAAATTATTATCTATCCGCCATTGCCTACCCACCTATTCATCAACTCCCGATTACCCTTTATGCCACACCCCCGTGTACAGAAATCGTAAAAACGACAAGACTACCAGTCAGGGTAGCGTGGTCAACAACCCATAAAGTTTGAAAAGTTGTGGAGAGTAGAGACGTACTACAGAATGATACATTAGTTATAGTGTGTTTAATATTTAAAATAGGATCTGTAGATACTGTCATACAGGAATCTATAAATAATTTTAATCTTCAGTTAAAATTACAAGTCAAAAATATAGTTTTGTTTGCATACATTTTTTTACGTAGGTATCTAACAAAAGTAAAATAGCTGATACATTTATATCAATATAATCTTAATAAATGAATCAAGCCAATGTAATAATGATAATAAGTTAAAAGATATTATCATCTTAAGAACTACAAACCATAATATATGCACATTTGCATACCTATAGTATAAGAGCTAAACATGTCAGATGTCATGGAATTAATTAGATAACAGTTAAATGCGGATAGACATAAGGTATTTATAGAAGTAACAATTTGTAAATATCGATAATACAATTATAAACAAAAAAACAAAAACGATCGGATAAAGAAAAAAAGTTGTTTTTCATTTATTGTTTTAGTATGTATAAGTTGTATGAGTATTGTTGGCATGATAAATAATATTTAGATTCAACTAAGCATTAACAAACATATATTTTTGGTATGAAAATAAATTTTGGTTGATAACCATTTATTTATAGTTTTAACATTGAGTATATTTTTTAAGTATTAAGTATACAATTTATAGATATACTTAATAATATTAAAGGACCATCTAACTCAAAAAAAAAAAAAATAATAATAATTATATTATTACCATAATAAGTAGAATAGAATTTAACTAGGATAATGATACAACTAAAATTTGTTTGTGACTATTCGTTTGCTAGTCACGATGATTTTTGAAATTGCATGTGACGTCACGGATTCGTTCACAGCGGCGGTGGCCGTATTTTAATACACGGCAATATTTATCCATTTTAGGTTTTACGTAAAATAACTAATAATGAGCTAATGTTTTTTTTTTAAGTTAATTAATCAAATGTATTTAAGAGTACCTCATAATCTTTCCATTCGTATATCACATTTTGGTTTAATCTTTTAGAAAAAAAATAACACTTAAATGAATTTTATTACGAGTTTACCATACATGTATTCATTGCAGTAAATGTATGGAAGTCTAAAATGGCTATTTTAGTTTTAAATTGTAGCTAATTTTAGAAGTGAGTGAAGGCTTGCATAATATTATTATCTGACTATTTTAACTCATATTCTAATATAATTTGTAATATAATTGTTATAATTTCATTAATATTGAACCAAAATGTGATATAATTATATGATTAGAAAGATTACGAGGTATTCCTAAAAACATTTGGCATTTGGTTAAGTTATAAAAAAAAATAAGTTCATTAGCAGTTACTTAACGTTAAATTAAAAACGGATAACAACGGTGAACAAATCTGTGACGTCACGTGCAATATTAAAAGATAACCGTAACTAGTGAACGAATAGTCACAAACTTTTTTGTGAAATATATATATATATATTTTTTGTGAATTATAGTGGTTTAATTTTTATCATCATAGTATGTACTATAATTTAAATAAAAGAAAATTTTATAAGTTGGATGGTTCTTTAATATATGCAACATGACTGCATGAGTCCTATTATATTATATATAAAATGCAGGGATTATTTATAAAAATGAATGAAATATAATATTAGTAGTATTTTTAAGTTTTATTTCATAAAACCAGAAATCTACAGGACAATTTTATTTGTATTTAAATTATTTATTTTATTATTAAATAACAGGGTTATAATTATTTTATATATTCAGTCAAATAAACAAAAATTTCAATATGTTTCTACTGGCTATTTCATTATTTACTTATAAAAATCCTTCATGTTTGTTGAATATTACCTAGTTTTATTGAATGATAAAAAATGTATTAATAATTATAATTATTAGAACAGTATCAAAATATATCACAATAATACATTATATATTACAAAAACATAAATACCAAAGCCACATATTATTGTATTGTATTCAAAAAGAGTATACATGTATAAATTATCAAGCTCGTAATATTGAGTTTTAAAGAAAGAAAACATAAGGATAGGAAAAAGGTGTGAGCAAGCATTAATGCAAAAAAAAAAAAATTAAATAATAATAATGCACAAAATTAACCAACATCCATAAAAGTTTGATTAAAAATAAATAAATTATAAGAACACAATAATTGTAGCCATTGTAAAAATGTTAAAAATAATTGTGTCATGTATGTTTTTTAGACTAGTGATTAGGCTAAACGAGCCACTTTTACTTATAAATAATTGAGACTTCAAATACATATATATATATACTAATTTACAATAGGAGTGTAGCTTGGCCAACCTGGAGTCTCTGTTTCCGCTAATTCCTTGTCCTTGACAATATAGGAAGCAGTAAAAAAGAAAAACATAGCTCCTAACACTTCAACAAAACTTGTTATGAACAATGCATATTGAAGACTATGGAAGTTGCTAATGTTATCTTGCTTGTCACCACTAGTGGTTTGTAAATTATTACTGGCTAATGACATGGAAGCCAAAAGTAGTGGTACAGCCCCTTTTGCAAAGATTTTTTTTAAAATTTCTGAAATCTGACAATCAAACATAAATTATTAAACATTACAAGGCTAAGTATAGGCACAATAAATTAAGCAATTTTGGAGGGGGCTTACGGCATTTGAAATTCTTTAAGAGTATAACTAAAAATTTTAATTAGTATATATGTCAATAATTTCTTAAGATGCTTAATTCTGAGTTTCTAGTTCTCATTTAATTTAAACTATCAGTACAATAAAAAGACAGCATCTTTGTACTAACAATATTAAGTTATTGTTTTTTTAGAAAATGGAAATTTAGCTTATTATCTAATTTGCACCTATGCAGTTTAGGTAAGCTAAAATGATTATTATTTTACCACTCCAATAAGGTATGGGCTACCAGCATCTCCAAATGCATGTGAAAACAAAATTTGAAAAGCTTCAGCTGTTGATCGTCTAGTAGGACTGACAACGTACTAAAATAAAAACAAAAAAAATTTAAAAAAATCATAAGTTTGAACATATAGTAGACTATTGATAACTTTTATTGAACATTTAAATACACATTATATGTTATTAAAAACTCTATACCTACATCATTTTTTTTTTGTCTACTCTGGCTTTGACAAAGGAATTATTAAGTTTTTATTGTTACTATATAAATTATAGCTATTTTAAATGTTTCAATGTAAATTATTAAAAAAGCTGTTTAAATTTTTTTTTTTTAATTTAAAATATTGTCATACTATATTATTAAGGCATACATGATGATAACAACTACTAACAATGAAAACAAATAATAAATAAATATATTTTAATTACGTTTTGATTTGCTAATTTTAAATTATATTAGTAATTCATGCCAAGAACGACCTATTAGACTACACTATATATCATTTTAAAATGATTGTTTTTAATAATGCATGTTTGTTTTAGCTTGGACACTAAATAATATATATTATGTATTATGTATGAAGACTATTTTTTATAAATAAATAAATACACATTAAATTAACTAATGAGAGTAAACTGTTGAGCTTTCATTTAAGATTACTTGTTACTACACTTTAACTTAACAAAAATAATTTCAAAGCACTTACTAAAAGTATATCAGCTACGATCGACCAATTAAGATTCAGTGATACTTGACCAAAAAATATCAAAACTAGCACAAGATAATAATACTTGTCTGCAAGCGCTAATCCCAAAAACAATAATGGAGCAGATATCAGAAGACCACCAGCGCAGATCAACGGGTCTGCTTTGGGATAGTTCACTTTCAGCCGTTGAGCCAAATATGAGCCTAAAGGAACACCAATAAGACCAGCTGCCATGGCTATTATTCCAAAGTTCAACGATACACTAAAAATACAATGATAAAAAAATTCAATTATTATTTTATAAAATAACAATTAAGTACTTTTATATACGTCAATAAATTGTTTATTACAATCTAATTCTATAATAATTCTACCTGTTTATTGTAACATTTTCGTAACCTTCTTGCATTTTTAGTCCAGACCACATAATTTGGGGACCCCACCAAGCCAAAGAACCAGTGACAAAAGCCACGCAAGTAAATCCGGCAGTGGATAACATAAAGCTCCGACTGAAAAATGATCAAGTCATCAATAGATACACAAGCATAAATAATTTAGTGTAAGACTTACTTTCGACACAATAAGTTTATGTCCTCGGACCAAGACGTAGTGGTCAAGTGAGAATACCCTTCGCTCTGACCTCGTTCGGGTTCTTCCATAACGAACATAATCAAGAGGACAGCTAACATACCGAGCGCTGGCGTGACGCGTAATCCCCAGTGCCAAGAACCGAGAACCCTAGCAGTTTCCGAGCCAACAATATAGCCCAAACCACTAAAATAAAAAAATAAAAATCACAAAATAAGTTTAATGTGACCATAATTAAACATTACACGGCTAGTAAAATACCTTCCCACGGGTATGGCAAAATAAAATAAAGCCAACATTTTCGACCTCACATCTTTAACAAACATATCGCTGATAATTGTAGGCGCAATAGTCGAATAACTAGCTTCACCAACACCCACCAAACTTCGGAAGAACAAAAATAAATAGTATTCCTGTAAACAAATTTCGCTGTGAAAATAATTAGAAAAAAATAATTTAATCAATTACAAACTTACATTCATATAAGAACCAACAAAAGTAGTTAATGACCACAAAAATACACCAAAAGCCATTATGAACTTTCTGTTGTATCTATCTCCTAGATATCCAAAAATCGGAGCACATATCATGTAACTTATGACAAATGCGGTTTGCAATAAGCCACCTTTGTCATCTCCGATTTTAAATTGGTGTTGAATATCAGCTAGAATACCTATAAATATATAGTTATAATAGTTACGTATATTGTATATATATAAAAAAATACTATAATGTTATTCATCTGAAATTATTGGATTAAATAAACAATATGATTCCTACAATATACTTTACAAAATATATTTATGTCGTGTCTACGTGTTACACGAGTTACGATAAAAATACGATATTATTAATATAATTTAAAAAACAAAAACGTTTTTAACTTTTTATAATATGGTGTTTAGAATACAAATTCTTTAGAACATTTAATAATCAAAAAACGGAGGAATTTACATTGGGATTCGTGATCTATGGGTGATATCGATTTGATATATATAAACCCGTAATTAGTAATCAATTATGTGACTAACAATCTAGCATAACGTAATTAATTAATCATTATACCTAAATTGTAACTGCTATTGGTATATATATGCCCTACGTACATAAACGCAAAACAATCGTAGTATAAATTATTTCGAGATGGTATTTTAAATTATTGTATAATATATTATGGGTGGGCTGTTTTTAAAGGGTGCGACGAACAATTAAACAATACGACCAAGACACTGGGAGACACGATACAGTTCCATGACCCGAAGTACAGTTTATAGGCCTAATGTTTTTAAGTATTCATGGTTAATAAAAAAATTTATACGGTTATAATGTACAAGGGCCATCAGAGAGATATTTACGAGAGTGAGAGATAAAATATACGAACAAAGCTACTGCTTTTTTAACATCTTCAAACCTACGGATCGCTCAATATGATCTTCCTGTTCATATTGTATATCGGTGGCATATGGCCGTGGCGTTATCTTATTTATTATCGTCGTATGCATAGACACGAAGCGTGTATAATGTATAGGACACTTCCGGGGATTCTCCAGCAATAAGAGACGCGGTACATACAATAACATTTTCTTCGCGTTGCATAGTCGCAAAGAACAGATGGCCCAAGCAAGCATAGTGATTTATGATATATTATTATTAAATATGTTATTAGTTTATAACATTAACAATAAGGAAACTCGTATAATAAGCGTAATGTACTTTTTTTTGGACGGATGAAGCCTAAACAAACAAGAATTGTTGCTCCCCGGTCATCGTAATAATGCGCATACAATAAAGACGACTATTATTATAGTATTATACATAGGATAATATTATGTTATTATAATTTAAATCACACGTAATGTATAAAAATATAAAATCGACAGGGTATTTATCTTGCGACGTAATATTATGATATATTTTTAATCTCGTAATGACGTCAACTTAACGTTTCATTGTCGTATTTTTTTCTAATATATATTAATATACGAAATATTAGAATTATATTATAAATATAGAGCTTTATTTTGATGGAGATTACTTTTTACTATCACTCACCTCTCTTTATGTTCCCGTTTTGTGGCAACACTATTTAACATTTTTCCATTTTTTTTTTTTCACAAGGTTGTACCTAATACTTCTAAGAGTAATCTATTATTCACAATTTAATTCGTCATTACAGTCATTTTAAGAAAGCAAAAACTATACAAGGGCGAAGCCGGATAATTCAGCTAGTATATTATATAATATATTTGTCAGATATTTGCATTATACCTATACAGTCTGTAAAAAATATACTAAACCTAACTTACTATAAATATAAAATAATTAATAGATATGATAAAATAAAATAAAATAAGGAATGTCAATATTTTAACGAGAAAAGAGAAGAAAATTAAGAATTTAACTAAAAAAAGTGAAATAAATTTATCGAGTTACATGCAAAAAACAAAGAATAGTATAAATTAGTAAGTATAACCTTAAAAATAATTGCATTGCGTAAAATTATGCATAAATAATTTCAGGTTATAATAATATATGTAAAGTATTCAACATTCGCTAAGAACGATAACGTAATTATTCTACATTCACATTCTGTACACCATTAAAACCGAAAAATTAAAGTTGTTTTTTAATATCCTGATGTTTTATTTAATTTATTAATGTACTATATAAATTTTCCAGCGTTTTCTAACAAAAAACATTAAATTTTATGTACCTACTATTTTGAGCCTATCTCATATCAAGTAAGTTAACAAGCTGTTATGAATAGTATATTATATTACGAATTACATACCAAAATACAAGCAAAAAAACATTTTATAGAATTGTTTAGGAATGTAAAAATTCAAATTTTTGTTCTAATTAGTATTATTTTATATTTTAAACTAGATTCTGCACGATATTGCCCGTGATAAATTAAATCTCCTTGAATTCATCTCTTCTTAAGCTGTGTTAAATTTAAGCTGCACAGACTTTTTAGTTATTTTTATTGTTCTGATCAAATATACGTAAATTACACTTATAAAATTATATCTTATCATCACTTTTTACTTTTGATAATTATAATGGTAACAAAATTGTTAATTTTTCGTGAATTAACTAATTTTAAAAAGTGTGTATTGAATAGTTAAAAGTAAACAATAAAAAGTAATTGTTGACACTATGGATCTTGCTGAATTTAATAATGGAAATTTTATAAAATTCTATTGAAAACTTGATTTGTATAAGGGTCATCCGTTTTATGCTTTTAATTCTATATAGCACTTAGATATACTTAATATATTTATTAATTATAATTAATCCTATTCGGCATTACATGTGACAAACTGAATAATGCTAAATAGTTGATTTACCTTGTCGTTAACTCCGTTAAATAAAACCTACGCATATTTTTAACAATCATCTTATTAGTATAAAATATAAATAAAATACAAGTCTAAAATTATATCCAATTTTACCTATTACAATATTTTAGTTATTATTGTAACTCATAGCAACCTTGTATACAAACAAAAAATATTCATTATACCTGAGTTAACAAAACCTTACGAGCCACTTTTTAAAATACAAAATGTAATAATTTGGCTTTGAGGTGCACATTTTTCAGAATAAATTATCTATGTATCGACATAGCTGTAACTCGCTTACTCAAACACAAACATTGCTTTTTATTAATATATAGTTATATCGAATCATATGAACGACATTATTAATGCTGGAGTATAATAAATTATAATTACAAAAACAAATATTTTAAATTAAAATTAGTTAATAATATATTATAATATAATACCATTATATTCACACTGCGTATGCAAATATTAATAGCTTTCATTTTAGATTACTTAATCATTACAGATTATTATAGTAATAATATCAAACAATAAATATTTGCTAAATCTATAAAATAAAAATAATGGTATTTTACGCAAATTATATTGTATTGTCGCTATTGTATAAATTATAATATTATAATATATTCTATTGATATTTAATTAATAATAACAAAAAATAGTAAATAAACTATAATATTTTATTTTTGCTGATAGTAAAACAAATAAAAAGCAATCTTTGTACATAAATATCACTTCAATATCACGATACATACAAAAAAAAAAAAAATACTATATTATAACATGAATCAAATTAGACATGTCGACTTGAATAGGTGTTCAATGTTAAGACTATTTTAAAAAAGAACATTGTACTCGTTCCAACAATACTAATGAACTTTGGCATTTATACATGTATATAAAAATACATTCGAGGTGTTCTCTTTTATGGTTTTAAATTATTTAACAGTTATTGAACAAAAATTTTAAATTTTAAAATGCAATTTAAAAACCTTATTTTTTATATTTAAACCTTTAATTTTCATAGTAATTTTGTAAAATTATCTTTTGTTATAGTTAGTAAATATTACATTAATATATTATTGTAAGATAAATAATACTAATTTAACAATTATTTTAATCGGTCGAAGCCCAGTCGGCTTCGTTACTCTAAACGGCTTTCGTTTTACAAAAAAGCCAATTTTCAAACGGCTCCAGGTTTTTACAACACAAATTTCTTTCCACTTTATACAGACTTAGAATTGTCTCTCAAAAGATGTGTGATTAAAAATGTCTTGATGTACACTAAGTGAATTATTAAAATTATATAAAAAAAGCTTATAGTATAATATAAAATTTTCAATTGTAAACGTTAAAAAATATAAATAACAGAAAAAATATTTGTATAAATAAAAATACTAAAAAAATCATATATCGGGTAAATTTGTTAGGCACAATATTTTATATAGTCTATGCATGTTATTTTATTTGATGAAAACTCGTAAATGATTTTTTCGATCAGACATGCGTGCATATGTCTAATAATTATTGTTGAGTTTACAATCATACAATTATACTTGTTTCTACATTTTTTTCGACACGAGCCGTTTGAGATCCGATGTTTTGATCGTATCATTTAACCGATACGAGTACATCAGCTAAAAGCTGTGGTCTAGTTTTACGTTTATTGCTGCTAAAATAATAGTCATTTCCTGGATTTGTACTTTATTCATTAATTTTTAATTGATTATCTTATTATTTTGTAATATATGATATAGTCTATTATCAATTTAAAAAACAAGTTTATTAAATAAGAGACATTTATATAATAGGTATAGTTAAATCAATATTTTTTTCTATTATAAAAAGATTTCACAACCTAAACAATTTGACTAATAATATTAAAAAGTAATATTATTTATATCTATAGAATTAAGTCTTTCGAATTTAATATTAGTTAATATTTTATATAGTAAATTATATACAATATACATCCAATAAATTATAATTTATAAAGTTATAAGTTATAGTTAACTATGATGTCCCAATTGTATGTTGGAATGACAACGAAATATTGGACACACTTATGAACAGAATTACATTTAGTTTTCATAAGTTATTGAATACCTAGAAATTGATTAATTATCAAAAGTATAGGAAAGTACCTATTTATTATCATATTGTTAAACCGTAAATTATAGAAAAATGTATTATTAAAAATAGTTAAGTTATTAAAATTATTAAATTTGAAATAAAAATCATTGCTTAATTTATTATATTTATATTTTTTGGCAATAATGTAATATATTATTAATATGTAAGTATATTATAATATTTTAAACAAAAACAATGGACGTGTTAAATAATATTTGAAACATAAGATACTCGAAAAAATATTATACTAAGGTCTAAGTTAGGTTAACTACACACTATATTTACTATTTATTATAGGTATATAATTATAATAATTACTCTTACCGTAAAGTTTGTTAAATTTAAGGTTAACAATTAACTTATTTTTAGAATTTCAAGAATGAAAAACAGGACATTCTTTAGGCTGTAATAAGAGATTAGACAGTATAGTATCTTATTATTTTTTTTCAAATGAATGCCAAAGATAAGTAAATATTTGAAGAATAGTAGTTAGTGATAACTAATTTGAAAGATTCAAATCCTTAATAAAACAACCATTGTTATACTTTTATTAACACATTTAGAAACTAAGACTTAATCAATTTTTTATGAAAAAATTCATTAACTGTTTTATTTTTAAGTAATTTATCAATTATCAGATACATAAAAATATTTCTAAGAATTTCCAATATCATAATTACTAAAATTTTTTTTTTTATTGAAACTTTATTATACCATAAGTTTCAAAAATTAATAATATTATAATGTTATAATATTACCTATCATTGATATCATTATTTATTTAAAATTTCAATAAATTGAATGGATTTTCGAATTTCTATTGAAAAACTTGATAGCAAACAATTTGTTTTATAAGCAATAAATGAATGCATGGAAATTAATTCAGTTTAATTGCATTATTATATTTTAATGCCTTTACGACTAACCAAATTATATTAAATTATTATATTTCATTAAATATAAATTTAAAACATACGATAATGATAAAATTATAAATCAAGAAGGTAACAAATCACAAACTATAAATGTATAAGAAGTAACTAATAAATTAATGGTGTTATGAGGATAAAAACGTTAAAAATTAAAATAATTAAATAACCACCCTATTCAAAAGTAACAGTCTTATATAACATTACCCCAATAAGCTTAGAAAAAAAAATCATACAAATTTACAAAGAAATTTATAAAATTGTAGATTAACGTTTAAATAATAAGCAACATGAGTAATCGAAACTTTAACACACTCTCAACAAGTTCAGTGCCGAAACTACCTAGTGTGTATACTGCTAGTATGCATCACCACCGCGGGCCACCAACTTTTAAAAGGCACCTCAGTTAAATTTCATACTTTTATAACTCACTTTAAGGTACCCAGTGCCGGATTAAGAACAGGTGCAACTCCAACCCCAAGGAGAAAAATGTGGTATTTATTTCTCAAATTCATGGATTTACTTCTATGTTTTTTTAATATTATATAATATTAAATTACGCAGTTACATAAGTGCACAATATATTTATATGATTTTTTTTTCCATATCTTACAAAATTTGCCGTCCTAGGCCTTAGGCGTAAAACCAGTACAAAAAGTACTTATTGTCAATTAACTGTTTTTTTATTAACAGGAGAATGAATATTATTATCTATAATAATACAGTAGTTGTTGATAGTAATTATTGACAGTTGAGTTTTTTAAGAATATGAAAGTATTGGAATGATAAAATTGTATTATCATGATTATAAATGTTTAATCACAAACCGTGATTATTTTCAGTATCATGGTTACCACTTAACAATTGTTAAACAATGAAGTATGACTCTTAGTAATATTATCAAATTGAATTGGGTTATCATAATGTGATAACTGAAAAAATAAACCAAATAGGTGTTATTTTGTAATTATTAATATTAACCTCATAATGTTTAATAGCTTTTTGATTTATAGAAAAATTATAAAAAATGTATTTTTATTCACTTGATAATTCTCGTACTTTGGGTAATGGGTTAATCCTCACCATACACTTTTATAAAAAAATTGTCTAGTGACCTATTATTAAGATTATTGAAATTGAATCATAAATTTGATGAAAATTTATTTTTATAGTTTATGACAACTGGATTTAAGGGGTTTCATTAAATGAATTAAAAATTCTTAAAGTTTAAAATAACTTTGAAAAATATACAATTACTTTATTTATAAATAAAAAAAACTAAACATCACTTTTTTAAATATTTTGGTTTGGTTAAAGTCTTCTGTTACACTCAAGCACAATGGCCCCCAAACATGTAATAATAGCAATGGATAAGTCAATTTTTGAGACAGAAAAAATCTTAATAATTCAGTTGTTATAAACACTAATTACATTCAAATTAAAAAAGAGAAGATATACATTTATACTGTTTATACTACATGACTGCATATACAAAGAATTTTTTATTTTTTTAAATTAGTGTAATATATACTAAACTATACAGTAAAAATATAGCAAATAAAATTAATTCCAAAAATATTTTATTTTATATTCATCATAAAATACACTGTATAAAACATTAGTTTTTAGTACAGTTTTATTAAATAAAATGAAAAACAGAGTTCAAATGCTGACTACATTTTTTAAAATTATTTTGTAGTAAAAACCATAAACAATTTCAATTTTTTTTAGCATAAACTAGATAATTTAATACAAGATCATATTTGAATACATTTTAGTGTAAAGCATTATAAGTTTTTTATGAATGTTTGAAAATAAAATTTGAATTATATTAAATAAATAAACATTTTATTGAAATTTAAAAAAAATTATCTTGAAACACTATCACATACTCAAATTATTTATTATAATTTTAAAATATGTTACATTATCAAAAATATGAATTTTATTTAATACATTTTAGGTACAATATTCTACACCTGTATCTTGTTTTACAACTTTAACTTATAGAAATATAAATATAATATTATATTTTTTAATATTTATAGAAACATATCTATTTTAAATTTTATATATTTGGTAAATAATACATATTCATCAATTTATATTAATAACCAATGAATGTTAAATAAATCTTTTTGAATCTCGGTTCAAGTACTAGAATATAATGTTTGTAAAGATTATGATTTTTTTTATCCATTGTTATAAAGTTACTATTAATATTATTAATATTAGGTTAAAGTATTTTCATTAATATTAATTGATGAAAATATAAGTCTATAGAAGTACCTACTGTACTTATTTTAAAATACAGAAGGTTTGGGTAAAATTATGTAATTTTATGGTTGTTATAAACAGGTTTTGATGTTTTAAGACATAAAATGTATAAACAGAAATGTAAAATGCATGGAGTATTTATGACAAAAAAGTGAGAAGTAATAAAAATGACAGTAATAAAACAAGTTAAAATGTTATTCAATTGTTAAGTTATATTTTAAAATCTCAATTGCATTGCCGCCACAGGCCACACACATTGTAATGAAAATAAATACAATTTCATTGCTATTCAAAATCATGTTAACTTTAAATGTAGCCATGTCACATTACATTTTTGTACATCTATAATCAAAATTAATTTTTGTTTTGTAATTTCAGAGAAATAAATTGTATACTGTTTTATAATTTTTTTAAAAGGTAGATTATAGAGTAAATAACAATTAAAAATTATAGGTTTCTTGTCCAAATGAGTAGCAAAATGTTAAAAACTGCCCAATAAGGGCTTGACGTAGATATATTATATCAATACTTAAATATCTACCAATTTCAACAACATTGTTTAGTATAAATCAACGATTAATGTGCAAAAAATATATATCAACTTTTGAGGGTAGTCCGTTGTTTAACTTTGGTCCCCTACAGAATAGTATAAAATTAATAATTCTCATTACCTGCAATTGTATACCGATCCATGTAATTGATCAAGTTGACAAAGCATAGTATAACGACTGTGATTTTCTGTCTACTGGTGATCGGCAAACGACCACTTACAGTTTCGTCATTCATCAGATGCTGTTGAGAATTGTTGTTGGGCGCCGATGATGGTTCGGCGTTCATTATCTGGAGTACGGTTTTTACAGTACTATTGCTGTGGAGCACTTGTGTCGGCATCACATCAATGGAACTGTTCCGATCTTACTACGGTAGTCGCCGGGCAACAGATCCACAATGTTGGACAACAGTCATCGCTAGGAAGTAACATGTATTACGGACGGCAAGCGGATAACGACTGACGTCGAACTGGCGGTGATGAGTAGGACACGAATGATGACGATTCGACAACCCATGCCTGTTTGTTATGAAACGTGCAACGTCACCTGTGACCCGATTACATTTTTGACAGGCTGACCACCGTTGAACCCACGGGGTCGGTTGTTGTTCGTTATCGTTATCGTTATCGTTCTGCAGATGTGAGTGAAATCCATAGATATTCTCTATGGTTGGGTTGATGTATTTCCATAATCTTTAATCACTATCTAGTATCTACATTCTACAGACCGTAGCTTTGGATAATTAATGATAATTTGTTACAAACTAAAATATTAATATTTAATAAATAATTTAAAAACAATTAAAAATTGGACTGGTAGCAGTAAAGTTCTCATTACTTTATGAGTCAAGAACACGTACTATTTGATTGAATTGAAAGATAAATTATTAAAATCATCTGCTCTATAGACAATAGATATATAATATATTTTTAAATATAATATGTCTATGCTCTGTTCCTTTCAACTCTTTCAACAAGGCATATTCGGGACTTACTATCAGATTTTTAGGACCTAACCTAAGCGTTTAGTTGTACTAACTACCAAAGTACCAAGTAATTAAATAAATGGCAATATTATAAAATTGGCCTAGGATCTAGATCAGTGATTCCCAACCTTATTTATTCTACGCCCCCTTTGTAGATTTTCAAAAATCTCGGCCCCCTCCCACCCATAAATTGAAAAAATTATAATTTTTTCGTTTACTTTACATTTTACAAATAAACTATATAATATTCGGAAAGACTACTTTTTATTGATGATAGTAATTATTTAAATATAAATAATTGTAAATAATATAGTATTATAGTGGAATTTTAAATATAATAAAATTTGATAAATAAAAAGTTTACTTTTTGATGACTACTTGCGCCTCCTTAGGGATGTGTATACGCCCCCCAGGTTGGGAACCACTTATCTAGATATATTATGTACACTTTCATACATTTTCTTATAATCTGTGATATGGGTACTGGCCATTGGAGTCTGGGTAGGCAAGTAACTTACTTTAGATAATACGTACTGCAAAGATTTGGACTAAATTTAGATCTTAGCAATCATATCTCTAATGTGGTACAAATGTCGTAGTGGCGACAATTGACCAACACAATATCGTTTTCGTTAAAAAAAAGAAAAGACGTCGGGTTGAGTGCGTTTATTTAAATGAAAAAAAGAAAAACGCCATGGGGCGTATACAACTTAATGGCGGTACCAACAGGGCGAATAAGCGATTGCGTAACGTTGCGTTGTAGGTAAGCGAGTCGCTTACCTTTTATTTTACACCTATTATCACTCCGAGCAGGCGCATAAAACGAGAGTGCTCGAGTTGTCCGCGGCGCGTAACGTCGTTTACACCGCGGTTAGTCGGGCGTTAGAGAAGGGGAGCGCTGTGTTTATAAAATAAGTCACGACCAGAAATGTAATTGGCACAATTAAATAGATACGATAAAAATGGTACAAGTTTACAATTTGTTATACATTATATTATCAATACAATAATAGTAATGATGTAATTATGTTACATATGTGATGGTGATAATGCTATATCACCGCGATTATGAAATTCGTTATCTCAGTCGATGACTATAAACAATATCAACATATGATATCTGTTTTTGGCGCCCTTTTTACATTTTTGGTTCCCTCCACAATAATATAATACATAATATTAACAATATATTATTATTATATTTTTTTTTGATATATGTTTACTGTGTTTACTTATTCCTTTTCATTATCTAGTTATTCGAGTTTTCAACATAATAGTATGTGTTTTATAGTTTATACATTGTTTATTAAGGATTACGTTTTTCCATAAGTATTCCAAATATACATTCTAAATTTTTAACTGCCTACATAAAATATACATGAGTATATTGAAATCATCGTGATTTGGTTAATGAAGTGGTATGTAAATATCGTCATCGCATTTCACGTGGTCGTAATTTGTTACAGTTTTCAAAATGTTAAATGAATCAGAGTTGATAACACATTTCGATAGTATTTACCGTTCAGCCGAAGTACTAGCTTTGAAGAGAGTTTGTGAAATTCAAATTCCAATATGCAATTCTCTCACTCAACTTACCTCAACAGATTGCCTTAAATTGATGGTAGGTATTTAAATTAAATTATTATATACTTATGTTGAAAACGTTAATTAAGACCTCTTTCTACTTTTAAACTCTGTTCTATTTATATAGAGCAGGTATCTTATGAATAAATGTAATTTTTCTATTGCAAGTATCATTATTCATTACTATCATTATCATTGTCTATTCTGAATTAAATAATTTAATTCTGTGCTCAAACATAATTTTTCTTACGTTAAATTATTAATAAAAATAATAAAGTTTTTAATATTTTCATATTAAATTAACATATATACTTCTAATAATAATATTTGTTGTACTAAACAATTATTGATGTATTTCCTATAAATTGTGTTCTATAGAACTAAGTTATTCATACAATTATGTTATAGTTACCTAATACTTGTTATATTATTTATGAATATAACCTCCATAACAATGGTATACTATTTATTATATTGTTAGATTTCATAATATAATTGTAAATTGACCAAGTATCAATTTTAAAAGTAAAAATATTCTTACTATTAAATTTGAAATAAAGTTAATTCACTAGTATGTTAAAGTTAACAATATTTAGAGGTAAGAGGTATGAGGTACCTTTAGCAAAATAATATCTATATTTGCTCCAAAACTATTGAACTCTTAAGTTATTGATTATTATACTCATTTTGTTAGATGACACACCTTATTTAAATAAAACTAAAACTAATTAAATATAGTATACTCATATTTAATTTTGTATTTTTACAGAAAAATGAATTGGATAAATGGTCCAAATTTAAAGAATCATCTGTGGAAAGAACACTTATATTTTATTTAATAACAGATTATATAGGCTGTGGATTATCTTCTCCAGAGTTTCATACTGTATTTCATAAGTATTTAAATACAGAACCTTCAAAGATAAAATTTTTAAAAGATTTATTAAAAATTTGGGATAGTTCATTCAACAATTATAAAATTCCAAGTACCTATGTTTATTAAATAAATATTTATAAGACAATTAATTTAATAAATAATTTCCAATTATGTTATAAATAATATTTATGTATTCATTTTTAGATATTGATTTTATTAAAAATTTAATGGTCAGTTTGGAGCATATTTTTTTAAAGATGTCAACTTTAGTTCCCGATGATCATATCAAATTTAAATGCAATAAAGTTATGGATAAAATTAACTATTACATTAAAGAGTATGAAAAAAATATTTTAGATAATCATACTTTAAGTAATAATAATATGCAACAACTAATTACCTGTGACAAGAATAGAGTTTTAGGCATTGAAAACATAGTTCCAAAAGTATCTGTTAAATCTGAAGTGAATTATTCTATCAAAAATCTTGTTCAACAAAATAAACGAAAAAAAGAAGTAATGGAAAAAAGTATAGAGCATAATATAATTTTAAATAATTTACCACAAAAAATTAATATGAATCTTCAAAAACATAACTCGGAAACTTTGATTGACCACCATTTTACTAAGAAACCAAAATTAATGCCAAGTGATGTACTAAATAGGAGTACCACAACAGGTAAATTATTTACAATATTTTTTTTATGATTAAACAATACTGTTAAAAGCCAAACTTATTTACGAATAACAATTTTCAACTTTATTCATGTTAAAATTGATATATTTAATCAAGGACTTAAAAAAATTGCTTAATATATTTTATTAAAACTCAACTATTTATAGTTTATTATTAAATCTATCATCATCAATTATATATTAATATCAATTAAATTTGTATTTCATGGTGTATTATTAAACAGTAAAATAAGTATAGTTTATACACAAAATTTTCAAGTTAATGTAAATATTCACAATATCAAGTTAATTTACTTGAATAAAAATAATTTCATCATAACAAATATAAACATATATTTTTCAAAAATAAACTATAATACACTAAGTTTCTGGATCAAAGATGATATTGACGAAGTGGATACTGTACCATTTGGCTTTTCTCTTTATTTTAAATTAGTTTTATAATAAAATCAAAACTTAATTAAAATTTATACACATTTTTATATATATATATTTAGATCCTGACATCATTACAATAGTACCTCATGAACAAAAGAAGCTCAATGCTTTTCAAATAATGATGTTCAATGCTAAAAAACAAAAAACAAAATCGAAATAAATTTACATATTATTATATTTTAGTTTTTATACAATTATAAATTTAGTATATTGGAAAGTTTCTTAATTACATTATTTGATTATTTGCAGTATGCATTATATATTTCCAGATATAAAAGCAATAAATACTGTATAGCTTTTTTTTTTTATTACAAATACTTTGTATATGATTATTTTATATGATTATGAGCTGTACTATTATTATTAAATACTGTTATTGGCTTAAAAAAATGTCTATACTCATTTAATATTGTTAACTATTAAAATTGTAGAAGATAAAATAGAATTCTATTTGCCAACTTAAATTATTCATGAGGTAAATAAGCTAATTATAAAAGTTACAGTTAAGGTACCTCAAAAATAATTTCTAACTATAAATAACATTGTTCCTTCCTTTAAAATTTACTCTGCAACATACTGGTATGAAAACTTTTTATAATTACCAATAAATTTAAAACATTTTTTGGTCATTTACTAGCATAATGATAACCCTATAAGCTTGCACACTTCTACTTAAATATTATATCTATGAATTACAACAATTGAAGTAGAAGTGTGCAAGCTTATAGGGTTATCATTATGCTAGTAAATGACCAAAAAATAGAGTTGTATGACACAAAATAGATGAGACTTAGAATTTGATGAAAACAATTTTTGGGAAGAACATAATTTTAAATACTTCAAGGTTGATATATTAAGCGCTATCAACTGAATGCATAACATAATTAAGCTTCATCTAAAATCTGGCGATCGATATCATTGCAATGAAGTGGCGTAGCAGAGATTAAGTAATGGGATTAAATAATATAAATTAAATAAGTTTATAACAGTTATTGTTAGATTTTTTGCTCAATTGAACTATCAAAGAACTAAACTCAGTTATGTATATACAATAAATATATAATATTATTAACACCCCAGTATAAAATTTAATGTTCTTTATTTTTTTATAGTATTATACTTAAAAATAACCAAATAATGCTGTAAACATAACTAAAAAACGTTACAATAGTTTATTAAGTTTTGTAAAAGGGCATTTCCCTGTTTCTATAACAAAATAAAATAAAATAACTACTGTTTATCTACAGCATATTTATATTATTTTGGTTGATTTAAAACATCTTTCAGCTATAATATTATTAATTGTTTAGTATATATAAAAATTAATAAAATATAAAACATGAATAATACATTTATTAGTGGAAAAAATATTTGTGGGTGGGTTAACCCCACCACGACATCACCATTATTGATATATTACCAATGTTTAAGTCAAAACCATAGACTTAAAATACAATATTGTCTATAACCAAAATTCTATTGTCTATAAAAACCAAAAATAAATTATGTTACTTATATTTGGCATTGTAGATCTGTGACTTTATCATGTGTATTATAAGAAAAAGTAGAAAAAATTGGGATTGATGGTAAAGGATCAAAATGGCCTTAACACTATAAATTAAAGGTTTGTATATAGAAGATGCTGAATTATGTAGAAACTGAATCTTCCAGTTCTGAACTATTTATAGTCCTAGATTTACAAATTAACATATAATAGTTTTACTTTTTAGATATAAGTTTTAATAGATTAACACATAAATAAAATGAAAAACTAAAATTTTTTTTGTAAAAAACTTTATTTGTATAATTTTCAACTACAATAATGGTTTGTATAAAAAATCAACAAACTTTCTAAAATAAATCTACTGTCTTGTTACCAGTCTAATATTATCGCAGTCTAACAGTTTATGGGTGATTTCAAAATTCTAAACATATGATATAATAATTATAAAAATAACAACAACAGAACATATAAATATATATATATACACACACACACACACCTATATATATATAACAAAAAAAGATTAACTTTGATTTTTACTATTTAATTTAAAAAAAATTAAATACAAATTATTGCTATTTTATTCTGTTAGTCTAATATTTTTGTACGAGATAATTCAAATAACACAACTATATTATATTATATACTTAATTGCTACTAGGAAATAAGAATTTAAACTTCTTAAGTTTTGGTGTTATTAATACCTTTTGGACATTTCAACTAGTTGAATACTTTTATAAAATTAATTAGTTGATAAAAATCATAAAATAAGTAGTTTTTTTCATTTTATTCTATTCCAATAGCTTATGTCTTCAGTTCTATATGTATGAATACATAATTACATAAAAATATGCATATGATAAAAAGACTTTACCATTTTCATGATGATTTAAATTACTAAATATGAACTAATTAACAGAGACTAGATAAATGGCACTACAGTGTGTGTGTGTGTGTGTGTGTATATATAGATATATTTAATAAGAATGAATAATGATGTATTATATATCCAGTAACAAAACAGAAGAACATATTAACTAAATAAACAATACAAAATAAAAATGAGCATCAAAATGACTACTTAAGTTGTCTTACAGCAATCAATAAATTACTGAAAGCATAAGACAAGCTTACTACATGTTTCGAAAATACTCAACTAGTGCAATCTTGCTCTGTTGATGGTTTCACCAAGTCTAGCGTTTCCGAACGTTTTTCGACCTCTGCTTTGAAATTTTCTAAGTCTTGCTGACTAAACATATAATATAAATTTTTAACAGAAAACATTATTTACTATTGAAAAAACATTTAATTGTGATATAGTTATTGGGAAAAACAATTATAATACAATAAAATATTTTTTTGTAGAAAATAATATAGTTTATGCCAAAAGGCAAAAATGTTAATGTACTATGGTTAATATATTTCAATCTGAACAAAATAATAAAAATCTGGGACAAATAACCATCAGAATTAAAAATTAAAGGATCCTCATAGATTTAAATAAATCAAAAGTCTACTAAATAACTAAAAAAAATGTAATTTAACCAATATTTTTAATATTTAAATATGATTAAATGCTACTAACATACCTAATTTGTACATACAGAATGCCATTGATAACATTGAGCATATCTAGTACACTACCCATAGAAGGTGGGTGTATTTGTATAGGAGGTAATGTAGCACCAGATTTGCCTGTATAGATTTCATTCATTTTTTTTTGTAATACTACTGCCTGATGCGTAAGGTGTTTCAAACAATCCGATGATTCTTGTGTTTTTTCATGTTTTTCACCAAACTTAAATATAAAATGTATTTAATAAAAGTACTATTTAATACTTCATTGGTATATTAGTACCTGTTGTTTGTAAATTGCATATGTTTCTCTTTCATTGCTTAATGCTGAACGGAAATCTCCCATACAACTTTGAGTGCGGGCAACTAGATGATAACTCACTGCTACTTTTAAAGATTTAGGTCCATAAAATTTTATATTTAAAGCTAAAGCTTTCTCTAAAAATCTCAATGAAAGATCATATTCTTGAACTGCATGCAATATCAAACTAATATTACTCTATAAATATATAAATATAAAAAATATGATATGAAATAAAAATGAATAATTATAAATAATAATAAAATATACATACATCTAATAGAGCTATTTCAGGGTGATTTTCTCCACAAATCAAAACTGCCAAATAACGAGCTCGATACAATAACTTTAAAGCAGTAGTTATTTGATTATTTGCATAACAATACAAAGCTAAATGAATCTGAAATTAAATAAAACAAAATTTATAATATTTTTGAAAGCATATTTTTCTTTTAAAATTACATATTCTGTTATGGTATATGGGTGATCAATTCCATTAACTCGTTCCGACATAAACACAGCTTTCTGTTGATATGCCATGGCTTCACCATAATCACCCATTATATAACTTAATCTGGCAAGCATTCGTAAACATTGAGCGATTTCAGGATGCATTGCACCATATACATTATTTAATAGGGTTAAAGCTTCCATAATTAAATCGTATCCTTCTTTTAAAAGCCCTTGTTGTATTTTTGTTTGGCCAGTGGTATAAAAATTAAACGCATCAGTTGCCTGTAATCAACATAAATTATAAAAGCAAATGAAACAAAGTTATTTATTAATTATACCCTAGGGTTGATGTGTTTAACCACAGGAAACATATTCACAATATCTTCTTCAAAGAATGTAAACCGATTTTTAGAATCAAATGAATATTCTCTTAACAATATCTGAATTCCAGTTTTTAAACAAAATGACCTTTAATAACAAATATAATATAATTAAATATCTTCTTATAAAAACCTTAACATAAAAAAATATACCTCAATAATGATATTTTTTGAGTGCCATAGTGTTCACAAACAGATTCAATTGTTTCAGGAACCAATTCCCAAGCATAATATGATTTTACCTCTGCTCGAATTTGAGACCAAAGAGCATGTCGAGTAAGATTAGCCCAATCTTTATTATCTACTGTTAGCAATCTGTTTAATCTTCCTTTACGCTTGTTGCGCTTTTTAATTGGTTTTATGTCATCTAACGTATTCTGTGGATGTGGTGTTGAACATGATGACAAAAAACAATTCAAAAAATGGCTAACTGCATTAGCTAGGCTCATCAACTCTGCTGACTAAAAATAAACAATTTTAATTTAATGTATAAAAACAATGTATAGTATACAATTCTTTTTACTTGTATGTAAGTATTGAATATATGTTTTGCTGCCCTAGTAATTAATTCTGCAACAGTAATACTGTACAGATATTCAAGCTGTTTAATTTTTGAAAGTTTTTCAGCTATTTTCCCCAAATAGCGAATATTGATACCCCTTGTATGTAAATTTTCCGATAATATTTGTCCATCCATTGGAGCAGAAGAATGATCCATACAGTCTCTTATCTATAAAAATAAATTTTATACTTCTATATTTAAAGTACTCTAATCATATTTAAAAGTAACCCAAGTAGCCAACTTTTGCACATAAGCATGGTATTATTCTGTTTATAATACTGATAATTGATTAAATAGGGGAAACAGCTAAATATGACCTATATACTATTAACAAAAACTGATCACCTGGTCGCTTTTAAATGTTAATAGAGTATACTCATCAATATAGTTTTTTTTTACTTTATTATTTTTAAAGAAATTTGATTCTGAAAAA